CACCTCCCCGCCTCCACCTCCCCGGCCCCCCTACCCCCTCCGGCCCTCAGGTAGCCAACCAGCAGGGCAAGTACCTGGCCAAGGTGTTTTCATCCACCAAGATTACGGGTAATCCGGAGGTGGACAAGGCGGCGGCGGAGAGCGTCAAGCCATTCAGGCGAGGAGGGAGGGAGGGGGGTTGAGGGTGAGGGTGAGGGCGAGGGCGAGGGCGAGGGGGGGCTGGTGGCGGCAGAGGAGGATGTTCATCTGCAGCCCTCCCTAATAGCTGGTGGCTGTGGCTGGTGCACAACGCGGCTCCTGATGTGCAGACCTGTCGAGGGTTCTCAAGGGTGATACCGGCGTGGCTGTTGTTTTCTTGGCTGCTCTCTTGAGTCAAGGAGAGGAGGTGGTGGTGGTGGAGGTGGAGGAGGAGGTGGTGGTGGTGGTGGAGGTGGAGCCAATGTGGTGGGATCGAACCAATCATTAGAAAGTGCTTTTCCGCAAGCACAGGCACACATACAGGCACACATACAGGCACACACACAGGCACACACACAGGCACACTGGCACGGGTGTGAATTGGGTCATTATCTCCGCGTACTTGCTGTCGGCGGCTGCTGCGGCAGCCTCGTACTTGCCGGCACGCACCACCTTGTCCCTTTCCTTGTTGGCTGCCCGTCCCTCAGCCGTTCCCTATCTACCTACCTGCCTACCTACCCACCTACCCACCCTACCCACCCTACCCCCCTGTGTGACGTCCGCAGGTACTTCCACAAGGGCTCGGCGGCCTACGTGGGCAGTGACAAGGCCGTGTTCGACCTGCCGCGTCTCGGGCCCCTCACGGGCACCGGAGCGGGCTTCGTGTGGAAGAGCTACGAGACCATGTCGCAGTTCTCCTTCCGCAACCAGTGCCTGGTGGCGGCGGACTGGCTGCGCACCAAGATATTTGGACGGGATATCTCCAGAGTGTGATTGTGTGTGTACGTATGTGCATGCATGTATGCATGCATGCATGCATGCATGCATGTATGTATGTATGTATGTATGTATGTATGTATGTTCGCATGTGCTGGGTTTAGGATCTGGCTGCGAGGTGCCCGGGGGTTACCCGGGGATCGAGGGGAGGGGAAGTGAAGGGGAGGGGAGGGAACCTCTGAGATGAGGTCGGGTGAGCTCTGAGTATTTATGGAGTTGGTAGTTTTGGTTGGCGGTGATGATGATGCAGTATGTGTGTGAGGCAGTATTGGAATTCATTTTAGGGTCTGATTGACTCTTAAGAGTGAGTTAAATGAGTATGTTTTGTGTGTGTGCATATATGTATGTATGTATGTGAGTGAGTGTGCGTGTGAGTGTGAGTGTAAGTGTGTGCAGACAGTGTATGTGTGTATAGCGGGCCGTGCGCGGAACAATCAGTCAACCTCCCAACGCGAACCCGCCGTAGGTGGGCTACAGCCTGTGTGTATTGCGTCGAATTCGTCGTTTGACATCTCGTAGCGTGTTTCGGGTTTGCAAGTGCGTGTGTCTGTCTGTCTGCACGTATGTATGTACGTTTGCGTGCGTTGTTGTGTCTGTGCCGTGTCTCTGGCTGCGCGCTTGCATTGTTATTGTGGTTTTGTAAATAGTCTTATGGTGTCCTGAGCGAGAGGGACAGCAGCTGTAGGGGTAGGGGGAACAGACAGACCGGTGCTCGCGCGGACAGCTCCAGGCTCGCGGGCCCGGCTAGGGCTGGGCAGGCTGCCTAGGCTCTTCTGGGGAGAACCCACTCGCTATTCGCCCCGATTACCGGCCCCAACGAACCGTACAGCAGTCGTACGGTGATGTAATGTCCAGGTAATCTAATTCCTGCTAATTCATGTTATGGTGCATGCGCTTTGTGGGCCTGCGTCTGTCTGTCTGTCTGTGTCATGTCAAGCGACTGGCATCTGCGCACCTGTACGTCCTCCCACTCCTGTGCGGGGCCCCCCATCACCACATACTCCGCGTGGTCGCAACTCCGCGAGGGCGAGGTGTGCTGAGATGTGGGACGTGTGGCGGTCTGTTGCGGCCTCCATAGTCACCACACCTCGCGACATTTCTTACGTTACGGCCTCCCTGGTGGTGGTGGTGGTGGTGGTGGTGGTGGTTGTACACAAAATACATTATGTACTTGCCATACTTACTGGGTATTCTTATTTCGGTGCGAAGAGCATCTGAGTTGTGGTGCGTTTGATGGCGAGAGTTAGGCGGCGAGGAACAGAGCTGAATAATGATGATTCGTAAGAATGTGTGCCTGTGTGGGCTGTTGTTTGAGCATCCTGGTTCAAGAGAAAGAAGGAGAGAGAGAGAGAGAGAGAGAGGGGGGGGAGGAAAGGAGGGAGGGAGAGGGAGTGAGGGCAAAGCCGGGGCGAGGGCGGGTGGAACTAAAGGGTGTACGGCGAGAGAGAAATGGGGATAGCGCATAAAGAGTAAAACTGCACCAGGCAGCAAAGCAGCAAGAGCAGCAGCGGTCTGTGCAGGCGGCAAGGGTGTTTGCGGGGACGTCCCTTCCCCTTCCCCTCGACCCTCGGGTAACCCCACTCGGGGGCTATCCAGGAAATGCTAACAACAACAGCAGCAGCAGCAAGAGCAGCAGCAGCAGCAACAATAGCAGCAGTGCGGTGGAGGAGAGCGGATGAGCTGCCACTGGAGCCTTCCGGCAGTAACAAGCCCGCGCGGCAACGGAGTGCCGGCCAGCTTGCCTGGCTGGTACGGGACTGCGCTCGGTATCGATGGCTATCCCTGTGCCGCTATTGCAACCTTAAGGTGAATATCCCCTGAAAAGAGGCAATCCCGGTTAGACTGAAAAAGCCATTGGTTGGGCTCGCATCCTACGTTGAAAGGCCTTGGGTTGCGAAACCGCGCGTTTTTGTTAGGCTTTGCGAGGCCGTGCCAGCGAGCTTAAGTCACGCGCGGTGAAGTGGACACCCCCCGCTCGGGAAGGCCTGGCGGGCTGTACGACAAATGTGCTATCCTGGAGTACGAAACTGGAGCGGGTATGACCATAGTGGGGTTTCGTCCCGGCCTCTGCAGGCTTGGTTGCCGCCACCTTCATCGTCGTCGTCGTCGTCGTCGTCGTTGTCGTCGTTGTCGTGTTGACATCGGAGGTGGAGGAGGGGGGATGGAGTCACCGCATGCTCTTTTCCACAACGACGCGCTATGTCGCCGGACGACGATGGACCGGGGGCGTTCGTGAAATTGGCTCCGCTCTTCTCCCTCACGAGATTTTGGCTATCACTGATAGTGGTTAAGCCTTCGTGAAAGCGGGAAAAAGTGGTCTTATTATGGGTGCAGCATGGCTGTCGTTAAATGCTAGGGGCATGTGTGAGGCATGTCTGGTCAGACCTTCAGCTAGTAGCGCAACCCGGTGTAGCAGCAAAGAAAAACAGGAATTACGAACAGCGTTTCCGTCTATGAGCAGCACTTTTAAGCGGTGTCCGTCTAGAGCGGGAATTACGAGCAATCTTTGCGTTGCAGTCGTGTTACAGGCAGAAAAAAGTATGGCGCGGCGAGTAACTTTCGACGTCGAAGAGTGATGCTGCAATTTACTTGCAATGAAAACGGTAAGGCTAGGTTTGCGTGTGGAGCTAGCGAGTTGCTTGCAGGTTAGCCGCAGTTTAAGTCGACAACTAAACTAATTCCGGCCAAGGCGCACACAGCCGCTTTGTGTTGACGACCCGCGTTGTTCGTACTAACCTACCTTCGCTTGCAGCTGAGTTACCAGGAATCAGGCTCCTGTTATAGGTTTGGAATCCCATTTTTAGCATTAATTGGTTGCGTCTTGATGGTTTGCGGCATGGTTGGGGGAGTTAGGCTATGCAGTCAGGGCTTAACTGCGGCCTTTGCCTTGCCAAATAAGATATAAAAGCCTCAAGCCATTAGGTTTCAATAACTAGGATCGACATTCACGGTGCTGAGGTCAGATTTGGCGCGCGACCGGATTTGTACAGTACGCAAGAGCCAGACTCGCAAAGCTGAACCCCGAAACAATATTTACGACATTTAAGCACGAATGATAATCAAGAGAATTTTGATAATATGTCGTTTTGTTTGGGCAAGAAGTGGTCGTTTGGAACGTACAAGTGCCACGACGCCCTCCACTACAGTCCATCATTAATTCCTGCAGCCAAAGTTCAGGCAATAATGACTGTGCCCGCAACTTTAGATAAGATAATAATACCATACCGTTAAGGATTCTGCGCATTCTGGCCGCCTCAAGGCTGGGCGGAAGGTATTATCTTTTTGTCTCAGAGAGTGATCTTACTCGCCCTTTGTGATATTAAGTAAAACTGCCTGCCTATCCGCGACGGCGGGCTAGGCTCGAAGGGACTAGGTGAGGCCCCGCCTCGGTAGTAAGCCTTGGGTCGATAAGTCATGCATGCAGGTCTGCACACACGTCCTCTTGGTAAAGACATGAAAGCCGTGTGTTCATGAGCTGCATCCCGTGGCCATCGCGACCGCCAACATTCTTCACGTGCTTCTGGCGCAACGGAGCGCTAAAAAAATTCACGTGCATCAGCATATGTACCAATGGTTCCATCCCTAATATCGCTGCCTTTTTTATACCCCAGCAGAAAAACGTCCGAGCCAGGCGCTTCAAGCTGCACAACCGAGTTCCAGCACACTGCCGGCGACTGAGGGGAGGGACCGAAAGAGAGAGCTGTAAAGGCTATATGGAGCTTCCAACTTTGCACCATATTTAAAGAACGATTGCGCTTGTGACTCACGACATCAGGGTTGCACTGGAGCCATCCTTCTTCAGGTTGGGCTGTGCGGGACCCTCCATTTGACATCGCAGCCTACTAATTACAACATCAAAACGAGTAAAGCATTTTTATGTATATATAACCACAGCCGCATAGAGTGTTCATCACTTGTGCCGGTTCGGGTGGCGCGATGCCGCTGGTGGCCGTTTGGAAAGCGGCAAACTAGTCCCCCTTCCGTGCTGCAGCCCTCAAGCCCGTTTCTTACCCTTTCCACCTGCCGTTGAGGGAGCTGCTCTCCGAGGCCCTCCCGCCCGCCATCCTGCTTCATGCGCCCCCTGCTGTCGTTGTTGCTTTTGTCCTTGTTGTAAAAGATGTTGATGTTGGTGTTGGTGTTTGCCTAGCCGTCATTTAGCATTAGCCCATCCCCTTCAGCCTTTACACCTCCTAGCACCGTGCTGAGTCCCCGACCTGCCTGTGGGGTCGGCCTTGCCTAAGCAAGGCCACCGCGGCGTTCCGCTCCGGAACGGCAAATTACCGACACTGCATCCTAAACTACCGGCTTCTAAAGTTCCTAATTGACACATCGTAAAGATCCCTCGGAGCAAAGTAAGCCTCGCGGGCAGAGCTAAAAAACGTTTTCAAAACACGCAAGACGCTCTCTATCCTTTCTTAATGCCTCGAATACTTTTGCCTTCAATTAAATGTCGAACTCGTGGTGCCAACGTGAGGTGGGCTGCACCTATAGCTTACGCATCGCCGCCGCCGCCGCCGCCGCCGCCGCTGCCGCCAGCACAGGGGCGGCACAATGGCTGTCGGCTCGTGCGACGAAGTTCTCTTTGCGCGTGTGCTTGCCCTCCTTGGCGGGGACGCGGCGACAGCGAGGTCTATATGCGGGGCACCCGATGTGGCGATACTGGGGGCGGACGGCGCTGTGACGCGCTGGATGGTGGGCCAATGGCGGACGACCCAGCAGGCGTTACAGCAGGTGCAAAACGGTCTCAATGTCAGCTTTGTGCTGACGTCAGCCTACCAGGTGCGCGACTGCAAGGGTGGGAGAGTGCCTTGGCTGCGGGAATGAGGGAGTACGCTATGCTGCGCCGTGCTGTGCCGTGCTGCGCTGTGCTGCGCTGGTTGGGAGCGTGCTGAACACTTTAAACACAAGTTCTTTTCAAATTGACTATGCTTTACAAACGAAAACATGTGTTATGAAGCTTGCTTTATGTATATTCAAAAATTAGCAGGTCCCTTAACCAGTAAGAAGCAAATAATGATAAACTGGAGTTTGGGGCAAGGGGGCCCCGTCTACTGGGGGTGGCTTCGCTGTGTGTGTCAACACAACAACCCTTTGTTGGCGTTTTGCCGCGATGGTGTTTTTCGCTGCCTGAGCCCCTATTTGATTTGCGGCTTGAGGAAGAATGCTGGCGGGTACGAGGGATGATTCGTCGTAGTGGTTGTGGTTGTGGTTGTGGTTGTGGTTGTAGTGGTCATGCAGGTGGGGTCGCACTTTTGGGGCTCGGGCCCCCTGCACGCTCCTTGCGTACCTTGCATTTCCCCATATAGCAGGAATTATTCAGCATCGCATCGTATTGTGTAACGACTTTATCGTCTTGTACTGTAACTATTTCATCATCGGGCTGTACTGCAACTACTAATTCTATCGCACTGCTCACCCACTCCACGTATTTTTACGTCCATTTCACGCCCAAACCCTCCGACGGGACCTGTCGGGGCTTGTCCCGGGTTTCCCAACCCGCGCAGATCTTCGTAATGCAACTCGGGTGAGTGTACGGGGGTCGTTGTGGGTTGGGTACGGAAAATTTGAAATTCACATGCCGGAAAGGCAGCGTCGTGAATGAATTGATGGGGGTTGCGAGCTTGGCTCCGGAACTTCCCCTCTGTAGAGGGCGCGCTTTGTACGTACCTAACCGCTCAATTATTACAGCTAACTGAAACCTAACCAACCAACCAACCAACTACTGGTTTACAGTTCGCGAGTTGCGGGTCTCTCAGGATTGGAGGTATCGTTCTTCTGTGTGCCTGTTTTTGGCTTATACGAGTGTACGAGTGTACGAGTGTGGGTGATCTGCCACAAGTCGCCGAATGTCGCCCCCTTACCCTCAGCTACCTGCGCCTCTCAGCCACCCGCGCCGGCCCCGGCGTCTAAGGGCAATTGCGGCTGGGGCCCTCCCTGGGGCCAACGGGTGTTGGAGGCCGGCCTGCAGCCTTCATGAAGTCCGGCTTTCCCCCCTGTCAGCACTCTTCCTCCTTCGCTCCTTAGGACCGCACCCCCCTCTGTTCGCAACCCCTCTCCACGTGAACCCATCTCGCCTGCCTGCATGCCGGGCCGTATGTTCCCGACCGCGCTCTCTGTGCCCCGCCCCACTCGCTCATGCACTTCCCTGTGCAGCTTTGCGCTATTTGCTGCTGGTGTGGTGCGCCCCAAAAACATTGTGGCCATCTTTCTGAAGAACTTATTCGACACTTGCATCGCGGGCATTGTCTTTTACCTGGTGGGGTACGCCTTCGCGTTCGGGGCCAAGGACGGCGACGCCAACGGTGAGAGCAGGGCAGGGCGGGGCGGGGCAGGGCCGGGGCGGGGCGGGGCAGGGCAGGGGGGGGGGCAGGGCCAGGCAGGGCCGGGCCGGGGCGGATGAGTTGCTACAGGTACTACAGGGGTCCGACCTGCGTCCCTTACAGGGGTCCGACCTGCGTCCCCGACTGCTGGCGTTCAACCTCGGGGATCGCAAGTTGATCTCTAAGCTTTGCTTTCTAAGCTTTTACCCTTTGAATGATTTTGTTGCCGTTGTGGTTTTTGTGCAGTTCGTGTTTATTACTCCAATGATTCAAATGCCGCTGCCGCCGCTGTCTCTATCGCCGCTGTACTTATGCCGGGGATTTATTTTCGCCTCTCCCAGGGGCCAAATATTCACCGCTTTCTAACGACCCATTACCCCTTTGCTCTGCCCTGCCTTACCGTACCCTGCCGTTGCTGTGCTGTGCTGTGCTGTGGCATGATGGCCGTATTACCTGCCGGCGAGCGTTCAGGCTTTATTGGGAACTGGAACTTCGCGCTGAGCTCTTCAGGGGCCGGCGCGGGTCGTAGCGGAGATGGGCCGCAGCCGTGGCACCTCTTCGTGTGGAACTGGTCCTTCTGCTCGGCAGCTACGACCATTTTGTCAGGGTCTATCGCAGAACGAGGTACCTTTGTGGCGTACAGCATCTACGCGGTGGGTTGCCGTACGTGCCGTACGGCAGTGGTAATGCCGTACTCAACTGTAATAAATATGTGTGTATACGGCGCAGCCAATTCCATGATACAGGGCCGGCCAGGGCCTGGGAATTATGGAAATGGCTGCACCGCACCTGCCCGACCGACACTGTCGTAGAGACTTTTTAACGAGTCATTAAACCGGTCCCAATGAACAGCTGGTTCCACTAGATCTATCTGGCCATTACTTTGTGAAGTTCGGACTGCAACGTTCTGACGGTTGCAATTACCGTTACCCCGCTGCTCCCCTGACAGACGCTAAGTGTCCAACCGATTTTCAACTGCCAACCGTCAAACCGTCGAACCACAAATGCCCTCCTCGGCCCACATCCAGCACCCCCTTCCCCACCTAGTGCCCTCCCCCCTCCCCAGTTTACGTGCTCCCAGTGTCGCTCGTCATTACGCGCACCCTACCGTACGAACCCGTACGGGACACATAACCCTAAACTCTACATGGCACACACGTTTCCCTAGACCCATGTCCCACTGCCACGTCGCCGTCCTTATACTTTCCCCAAAACCCTTCAAAGGCTGTGATGCCTTCGTGGGTCTATCCCGTGGTGGCGCACTGGCTTTGGTCCCCTTTTGGTTGGCTGAGCGTGCGAAATGGGCCGAACCGCATCTTGGGCATCGGTGCAATCGACTACGCCGGGTCAGGTACGACTTGTACGGCACGTACGGCGGTGTGCGCATGACTGTGTAGCTGGCAGGCACCACGGATTACCCATACTGTGCTGCGCTTTTTTGCAAGTCTTCTTCTGGTTCTTATTGCAGTTGCATCCTCCACCTCAACTCCAGCACGTCTTCGCCATGACCAACACAACTACCATAACTACCACAACTACCACAACTAACATTTCCCGAAATGGACAGCTTAGCTACAGCTGCAGCACACCGGCGGCATCTAACTTAACTCAACGAACTTACCTGCCCACTTGCTGGCCCTCAATCCAACCAACTGCTAACCACCAACCGTCAACCGTACCAGGGGTGGTACATCTGGTGGGCGGTACCGCGGCGCTTGTCGGCTCTTTCATGGTGGGCCCACGGGTCGGTCGTTTCGGTGGCGACGGCATCTCCCCGCAAGTATATCGCGCCACCGCCGCACCCCAGCTATACCTCATGGGCACCTTACTGCTGTAAGTACGGTACGGCACCAAGGGCAAAGTGTACGGCACATCGTGTGCGTACGGGAAGCAACATTTTCTCGTTGCAGCCATGCTGGGAAGCCATGGCCCTGTGTTGAATCCAGATGAGGGTCCCGATCTGATCGTAGAGCCCCTTTGGGCCGTTTCCAAAACCGGGAGTATCAGGATAGCGCCTATCGCACGTATTGACATTATTCGACCATTACGGTAGCAGGCTAGCAGAGCCTGTGTCTCAGCATGGGGGTGTAGGAGAAAGAGGGAGGACGAGAGGACGAGAGAAAAGGGGGAGAGAGTGTGTGTTTATGTATATATGAGGGGAGGGCAGAATGAGACGAGCCCTAGTTCTGCCAGGGCTCAATTTTTAAGGAAAGCAGAGACCCACAGGGAACCTATTTATCATATTTATCTCTTATCACCCTTATCACCCAACCATGGTGACTGGACGTACGTACGGCGCAGGTGGTTTGGGTGGTACGGCTTCAACCCGGGGTCTCGTCTTCAGATTGCGGATGATGTGTCGGTGAGTGCTCAACGCCACTCAGTGTTGCCACGCCGGAACGGGACTCGAACGTCCGGTCATAGCACGGGTTAGGAAGGGATTACGCTGCCTAATCTCGCCCTCCTCCTAGCACCATATATAGAGAGCCGTACAAATCAAGAAGCTCTTGGGATATAGATACCTAGTGACGGCGAATTCATGTAGCCCCCCCGCACCTCAAACCCCCCAATGAGGCTTATGTTTCGGGCCGAAGGCGCTTCAATTAATTTGCTTCCGCTATCCCTCTTCCGCTTCTGGTAACTAGCTAAGCTAACTGAATTAACTAATCAACCAGGTAGCCAGCTGATAACCCGCGCGCCTTCTCAACACCAACACCTCGCACCAATCCCTGCCCCACCCAACCCCTGCCCTGCCAAAATCGGCCCCCCCCGGGGCCCCCGCCTTCGCTAACGCAGTCGATGGTAGTGGGCCGTACAGCCGTCGTCACGACACTGTCCGCATGCGCCGGCGCGCTAACCGGCCTGCTGCTGTCGTACACCCGGCACAAGGTCTGGGACCTCCTTTCCACCTGCGTTGGGGCGCTGGCGGGTGAGCGACGGTGGTTAGGCGGTTGGCGGTTAGGAATGTTTTGCGCTGATGGTAGGTTTTGGACAGTTGGTACCGTCCAGTTTTTAACCACCTACAGGAACGTCTCCTGGCGACCAGGATCTCTTCCGTTTTTGGTAGAGATCCGTACAGGTGTGCGGAGGAATCCTTTCGGACGACTTGACTGCCCGCCCACCGGGCCGCCCGCCGTAACCCCGTTGAACCAGCCTGTATATGCCGTATTCACGCCTTCCCCCCCAAAAACATTTGTTTTACTCTCCCTGGATTCACAGGACTTGTATCCGTCACTTCGGGCTGCTCCGTACTCGAACCCTGGTGGGGCTTATGGGGGCCGGGGGGGCCCGGGGTGTGAACGGCTGGACGCAGGGGAGGTGGAGGGGGAGGGAAGGGGGAGGGTAGAGGGGGTTAGGGGGAAAGGGGCCGAAAATCAGGGCGTCTGCAGACGGCATCGAGGGGACGATGTGCGGATCGGGCTTTTAGGGTACATACATACATACATACACACAGACGGGAGGGCCCTCAAGCCCTCAGGCCTTGGAATTCTGCAGGCATTACCGCATTACTGTGTTGCGGCAGACGCCATCCTCTTCGCTCTCCGCGCGAAGAGCTTATGTGCGCGATGTAAATACCCCCCCCCCGGTGGGGTTGTACTGCGCTTACGCCTCCTCCTCTCCTCCCCCGCCTCCGGAGTTCGTTGGTCGGTTGGTTGGTCAGTCAGTTGGTTTATTCGTCGCCATTTAGAAATCGCGCTGACGCTTACTCCTCTGCCCGCCCCCTTCCCCCCTCCCCCTCCCCTTCCACCTGACCCCTCCTGCTCCATATCTCCCCCCCTTCCCTGGGGTCGGGGTCGGTGTCGTGGACGGATGGATACCTCCTCAGGGCCGCCATCATCTGCGGCATTATCGCGACCTTTGTGTGCGAGGCGGGTGACGATTTATTGGAGCGGTTTAAGGTGAGCGGTGAGAAGTTAGGGGTTAGCGGCGGGCATAGACTTATAAAGCTTCATGTCATGCTGGAAACGGTGACCGTTGCATGTGTCGTGCACACCCGGGGTTGGGGAGGCAGCCGGTAGAGGGGGACTCCTGCCTGAAATACTGGTACACGCTGTCCGCCCTTATTGCCCCGAAAATCCCGCAAACTTACGTAAGGCAGTCTCAAACATTATTGTCTGGTATCCTCGGCAATTGCCGTACACCTTGTACGAACCCATCACCACTCCGTACATCACAACGCTAGCTTATCCAAACTCGTTTTCTCGTATCTCGTGTCAGGGGGGTTGTGCATTACATCACCCCTTGCCTTGAATGAGGTCTGCGCTTTCCTCACAGATTTGTTTCCCCGTACACTCCTTTGCCGTACACCACCAGATCGACGACCCCGTGTCGGCTTTCCCGCTCCACGGTCTGGGCGGCGCCTGGGGTCTGATCTTCACGGGCCTTATGGCCAAGGAATCCTATATCCAGCAGGTGCTGCGGGGCCTGTGGTGGTTGGTAGTTGGCGGTTGGTGTTGGTTGTGGTTCGGTGTCATTGGGCCTGAAGCGGGTTCATGGGTACGAATGGGTACGAGCCCAGGGGAAGAGTTGGACGAGCCGGTGGCGTGGAGGACTAGCTTTGGGGTTATGAAAACGTTCTGTTGCGCCAATGGGCTGGGCGTTGCCTCTCTTGAAGGGATGTGTGGCTGTATCTGGCTGAACGGCTGAAGGGGGAAGTTGGGGGAGCGGCGGTTGTTCGCGCGCCGCGTTGCTTGGTGTCTCTTTTGCCACGGCCTTCGTCGCAACCCCCCTCCCGCTCATCGTCACACAGAGAGAGAGAGAGAGAGAGAGAGAGAGGGAGAAACAATCCCAATTGCGCTGTACGGCATGTGCAGGTGTACGGCGTAGCACCGGGCGGGCACCGCATGGGATTGTTCTACGGCGGTCATGCCCAGCTGCTGCTGTGCCAGGTGGGTTAGGGTTTCGGGGCTTTCGGGTGTCGCCCGCAAAAATTGGGGTATCGGTCAATAGATGGGGCAAATTGCGGAAGGCGAACTGCCACCCTGACAACGTGCAAGCGTGGCATGCTTTGCAACACCTCCCAGCGGAAGAGGATCACAGCAACACGCAGCAAATGACGCACGACACACGATCTATAAGCGACTTCTTTTCTCACTCCTTGTCCTTCTCCCCCAGTCACCATATCCCACTGCTAGCCCTTTTCATAGTTTTTTGCTCCGTTGTTGAAGAGGGGCCCAAATCATTGTTTGTTTATTCGCCTTCTTTGCGCTCTATCTCAATACGCCCGCCACCTGCCGACGATCGAAGAACGCCCTGAAAAACCTAAAACCCTAAAACCCCTCCCTCTCACACAAACCTCCTAATCCATGCACAGTCCATAGCGGTGGCGGTCATCGCGGGCTGGACCCTAACCAACATGATAGTGCTGTTCTACGTACTCAAGCGCGCACGTATCCTGCGAGTACCCGCGGACAAGGAGGTGGCCGGAATGGACCTCACGGAGTGCGGCCAGTTCAACGCCAGAGGGGCCGTGCACCTGCAAAGCTCTAAAGTGGGTTTGACCTGACGGCTGCTGGCTGCCTGGATGTGGCCGAGAGCGAGGAAAGGGGAATGGGGAATCTCTGAGGCCTTAGCGTTTTAAGCGCTAACAGCCGCTGACTAGGACGCGTGACTAGGACGCTACCGGTCTTAAGGGCCCCGGGGGGCTTCGGAGTCCCCCTGGCCTCTCCCTTCCATCCTGGACGATGAAAGGAAGACGGGGCCTTGAAGGGGGGAAAAAGAGAGCAGAAGGTGCTGCGGAGCAAAGCGCCCGGGTGTGGAGGAGGGCTGTGGATGTCTTCTCGGGCCGGAAACTGCACACGGCGGCTCGTGTGGGCCCTCCCTCTCCCCTTCACTCCACATTCTCACCGTGAGCCTCTCTACTAGGAGTGCTCTTTAGCGTTGCAGAAAACCACCACCGCGCACCAGAGCTCCCGCTCAATTCGGAGGTGCCTGAACCCTCCCTCGCAGAGCTCCTTCAGCAACACCCAAATCCTTTCAATCCCCCAAACTGTGCATCCTCCAATCCTTAGAACCCATATGCATCTTAATCGTCAAGGATTTCCCCAACCCCGCTCCTCCTCCCGATGCACGAGCTCAAGAGCAAGGTGTTCCTTTCCTATCCTCCATTAACCTTTCCCCCTCGTTTTTCGCTCTTCCTCCTCCTTTTCCTCCTCTTCCCAACCTCCTCCTCCACCTCCGGCCTCGTCGCCTTCATCACACCAGCTGTTGACCATGAAAGGCGACATCCTCCTGTCTGCATTCTCTGTGGAAAGGCGAATCAACGGCATCACAGGATTCGATGTTTCCTTAAGAAACAGGTCAACCTCACACGCACACGCGGGGCTGATTATGGCCTGTGTACCCGCCGACGGCACCGCCGCCGTCGTCACCAGCGCCACCGCCGCTGGTGGCAGCGCCGCCGCTGTCGCCATTGCAAGCGACGCCAGCGCCGCCGGTATCAGCACCATCAACAGCTGCGGTTGCGCAGATGCAGTCGGCGACTGTGGTGGTACCGTCAACGCCGCAGCTGCACTGATGGTTACGGATGCTCCTCCGCCAACACCAGATCGGGATGGATCTGTCCATGTGAGTTGTTGCAGCAATGCAATGTGCCGAACTGGCTGACGGATGTACACGGAGGTATGCCTCCATGAATTGTTGGTTGCGAGTGGAACCCGTCATGTGAGCGGTTGCGCATTTTGCAACTTTGACCCCTGAAAACTTTGTGACTGCGCACTGGGTGCTAGGATGGCCCTGGGGCCTATGCGACCCAATGAACTGCGCTTCCCGCCTACGTCCTGCCCTGCCCTGTTGTTGTACAACAGCGAAAAGTGTACCGTACAGAAGTACAGTAATCGGATCCCTTTCCTCTCTCCCCCTCATGCACTTTTCTGGAACCGTGTTCAGATCCCGACCCCCAACGGTGAGGCCTGATTGGCGGCTGTGTAGGAGAGCGCGTTGGGAGAGAGCTGCTGCTGACGGCGGTGTGGGGAACCCCGTTGCAGGTCTGGGGTGTTGTCTGCGGCCTTTGGGTGGTATCTAACAGCCAGGGTTTGAAGCCGTGAGCGGCTATCTGTCTATAAATTGTTTATTGGCATGATGCTTCAGCGTGGGGTGTTGCTGAGCTGGGTTTAGCTTTCCTTGTCTTTGCATGGAGCGGCGGGGTGGGAGGGCTTCCAAATGAAGTTAAGCTCTCAGGTCGCGGGCGGCCGACGAGAAACAGTGTTCCCTTGTGCTTAAAGCGTTTGTTTCATTTCCGTACAAAAACCTTCTCCGAAACCAGCTGATTCGTAGTCCTCCTCCTTTTGATTTCGTTGGGGTCCCCTGGGCTATGGACTCACACTGGCTGGGCCTGCTGCCCCTTGCGGCTTATGCATACTTGCACTCTGATTATTACGACGTAAGCGAGGAGGGACGGAGCGCATAGTATTTGGCTGTTGGCTGTGTAAAGATGCTGACGCTCTCCAGAGGTCGCAGGTGGGTGCGAGGGGATGTGTCCCAGGGAACGGACCGAGCCGGGATTGGGGAGATGAGGCGAGACGGCAGGTTGTGGTGAAGGCGCCATCGCGCATGGGTTGGGCCGCGACTGGATTTCCAATTGGGATGGGATGATTTTGCGACGGCATTCCATTTCCCATTATAGCAAACTCGTCCTTGTGTACGGCGCGACGGCGCGGGGCTCATTGGCCGGCTCGTTTCGCGCTTTTCCTGTGGAAAAGGCAAACGCACAATGTTTTCTTTGCCGTGTTGCAGATGGCATGACCAAAGCCGGCAGTTTTAAGGAAAGGTTTGGGGAATATAGCTGGAAAAGTTTCAAAGAATAAAAAACGCGTTTCCCTATCATCTATGGATGCAATCGTAGTGTTGTTGCTGTTTGAGAAAGCTTTTCGGACGCCGTATCCTGCTCAACACGGCGCGGTGTTGGCACTTTAGTTATGATGAATCTATAGTACGGTTGTTGTGAAATGTTGTGATGCCACTGAAATGCTGGCACTGCTGCGGATCGGACCGGAGGGCAATCTAAACAGCGTTAATAGAATGGTTGTTTCTGTGTTCGTACTGTATTGGTTAATGCATTTTGGCGTACCAGCGTGTTTCGTGATGTTGCAATTGCTTTGCGTTGCGGCCCTTTTATCGTTGTCTGCCGGCCAGCAAACCGGCGGTTGGACCACGCACCCGATGGCTGCAGTCCATTACTCGGGCGGTAAATTAGTAGGAAGGTGCAGTGCAATGGGTGATAGAAGGTTCCACCATGGCTGGCTGCTGCAGCTCCGTGCAGCTCTAGAAACGGGAGGGCGCGATCCTGCCCAGGGAAAGCGCATCAGCTGTGAAGGTTACAGAGGACCCTTCTTCCTGTTCGGTCAGGATTCAGACCGCGCTAACGCTGGGCACAGGGCACCCTGGATAGCTTGCGCGGGAATTAGGCAAGCTTACAGAATATTCAAAGGGAGAGAAACCGTTTCGCGGCGAAAGCTTGTCGCGTGCGTGTAAATGTCAAGCTCTCGCTGTCTCCCGTCCATCCTTTTCGCACGATATTAAGTTTGGCTTCTAGGTATGGCACATGCAGCATGCAGTGACTTACATGGTCAGATTTCATCAGTAGCCTTTTAGAGCAATCCCCTAAAGATAACACGGAGGCTTATGCATCGAAAAGCTGGATGATCGAGGCCTGGACTGGGTTGCTTTTCTCCATACCCTGCGAAGACACGAAAGACATTTATCGAATTTATTTCGTGGTCGGACTACCTACCTACGCAACCTCATGAGTTTGGCAGGCTCGTGAATAAAGTCCTGCTACGCAAGCCCATAGGCATCGAAACCAATGCAGAGGAACGAGCACTCCAATTCCTGTTCTTCAACGCGCTTCATCAGCTCCTCATCATCACACCCAACAATCGGTCCGCCCAGCTCCGTATATAAGAAAGCCAGCTCATCTTGGCGGATAGTTCATCTTCGTGGGTTAGCTCACGACGATTAGCCCAACGGCACAAGCAGCCAGGCATCCACCAGGAACAAAACGTTCTAAAATAATGAACAACGGTTGAACGGTGAGAAAACCGTCAAAAGACCACCAAAGGGAAAACAAAGTGGTGGATTCCAGAGAGCCCAGTCAAAGAGGTGAACATGACATGTCCTGTAAACGCTACTGCTCCTGCTGCTGCTGCGCAAAACTGCTCATCAAAACCGCAAAGAAGCACCGCGCAGGCCAGCTTTAAGGCCAGCAAAAGCTTTCGTTCAGTGCTCCATCTCCAAAAACAACACGCACCCCACCACACCCACTCACGCGCAAAGCAGCACAGGTAGAGCTTCGCTCATCCTCCTTCCAAGGTTCCAACATAATTACACAAAACACATCACCTCCACTATAATCATCCTCCTTGTTGTCTGAATAAAACCCAACAATAAAAACAAGGCAACTGTAGTCGACAGTTCATTTATAGCTACCGACAACAATGACCAGTTCAGCTCAGTAAACGGGATATGTGTGCCGCACTACGAACAGCTACTACAAGTCGCCTCAGCAGCTGCCTAATCATCAGGGACGCAGTGCACTATCCTACCCCATCCGAACGACCTAGGAGCCCCCACACAGCTGATGAGACAGGACCTTCCTCGGATTGATGAATCTCGCCCTTCATCCCGCCATTACTCTGCCCAGCAGGGGGGGGCCCCCGACATCAAATTTGCTTCCAGGCGACGGTGCGTGGTAGCTATAGCTGTGAACAAGAATGATGATGGTGATGATGTTAACAGTAGTCGGCTGGGGCAAACCGCTGGTTGGCGGCTTGGGGGCTCAGCAAGGCTCTGCTGAAAAAGTGCGATGGCAAGCACACGTAAACATCATGACACGCACACAAACAGAAAGGCCCACACGGTTGTTGGGTCTGCTGGTCCTTTGCCGCCCGCGTGCCTTACACCTAATCTACTGGACGCCGATGGCTTGGCCTATTGGACCCCCCCAGTCTGGGACTGAATGGATGATGAAGTCGGGTTGTATGCAGGTAAAACGGATTAGGGCGCCCTGCCGAAAAAGCGGTGAAAGGCCATGGAAGGCATGGAGAGATTCCAGGAATACAAAAACACACATATAAAAGCAGCCACACCGCCGCTGAACGTCGCTGTAAACCTTTTTTTCATCTCCGCGCATTTACCTGGCTCAGCACTACCGCCCAAAGTGCACGTACCCCCAAGCATACAAAAAGAGCACCAGCAGACGAATAAAACATACATACATACATTCATTCATACACACACAAAAACAGTTTTCCCTGCACATTCGCAAAGCTGCTACCTAAAAGTCCAAGGCGTTTCACATTCTCCTCCCCGCATTCACCATCGGTCACATGACACAAAAAGTAAAAGCACACCAAAAGGCACAACCACCAACCACCATCTGCCCGACTACTAGTTGGCTTGGGAGGCACTCACGGCCCTGGCATCCACCGTTTCCGATAGTATTGCTCGACCAGATTTACCATCGCAGAGGTCGACCTCTCCCCTTCCGGCTCCTTCGCGGACGGCTTCCTCCCCATCCATTGCGTCAACAGCGAAAAAAGCACCTACCTTACTTTAGGTGACTTCTCACGCACGCCAACTTCAGCCCCCGGCCTAGGGCCCTCCGCCCTACCCCCCGGCAATTCAGGGACGCAAGGCGCCAACACGTTATCCCATCTGACCAGGTAGGTATACCACCTGACTTTGTCTACAGAGTGTCATCAGCTCCTTCAAATTCGTTGACCTCAGCTCCAGTGACCACTACTACACAAACCACTACCATTCCCTCAACGGTGAGACCATAAAAAGGGACCAAAAGAGTCCATAGCTGCATTCACCGTGGCGTCCCCTCACCCCCGCCGGAACTCCCCAAACCCGGAACCATAAGACCCTGCTGACCTAAGCATCAAGATAAAGCTGGGGAAAAGAGTGGTCAAGCGCGTCGTACACAAAAGCACACCCCTTCCACTGGGCTAGACAAAATAAAACTCCAAAAAGCTGTTTTCTGGCTCCCACTCAGGGTTCCCCTTGCAGATTATTATGGTTGGGAGATAGATCCCTGCGGCACTCTCTCTCTCTCTCTCTCACACTCTCACTCACACACTCGCGCACACGCACACACACACACACACACACACGCAAAGAGAAACAGAGCCATCGCGTCGCCTAGTTATATAAGTGGCACACCCACGCCCGGTAAACGTGCTTCCCACCACCTACCGGATACAACTGCGGTCTTCAACTACCGGGACAACTACCGGGACATTAGCAGCCTAGGGGTATCTTAGGGATACATCACAAGACAAAGTCAAAGACCTCGGTCCTCTCCGAAGGGAGAGCGATGGTGAAACGCTGGTGACGCAGCCCAAAGGTGGGGGCTCTCTCTTTGACACGAGACACATGAACTACCGGGAACGATGGGAAAACCAAAACCGCGCACAGCTCTCCTCCCTCTCCCTCTCCTCCTTCCGATATCTCGTGTCCCAAATCCAAAAAGAACAACCACACTACGCTGCCTCGCAAAAAACGTCCTCCGATTTCCCCTTTCCCTGGGGGTTCAGCCGCGACCGTTAGGTATGCCGCGGTGTGGTACGGTGCGGTGTGCAGCCGCAGCAAGTCAACAAAGGATCTACGGGACCGGTCCAGGTCGCCGCCGATGTCGCGACCCAAACGCCATTCCGGAGCCCCAGTATGCGGGTCGTGTCCAAAAAACGTGCTCCGCATGGTGGTATAGTTCAACGTCGGTAGACAAAGTAAAGCAGGGAGATAAGGCTAAAGGGCACCAAAGGAAAAAAGGAGAAAGGGCTGAGAAGAGCGCTACCGCCTTCTCATCAATCAATCTCAGGTCACTACGGCCCTCCGTTAGTTTGACAAAAAACACAATTGTTTTAGCTTTGGCCAATTGCAGCTCGAGGCAGCGAATATTTGTATATTTTGCCTTGTCAAGGAAGGCGAAAAAGGTTTCACCTCAAGCTCGTAGAGCTCCCGAAGAGCAAGTTGCCTCGTCCTATATATCTCCCCCAGTAAACTCGTACTGTGTGCTTCCGCCTGCACAAAAGGCTAATTACGCTAAAAAAAGTTACGTGTTGGCAACTTGTACTTTGCATTTTTCTGCGAAGCTCCTTAGGGCCTGGACAGGACACCAAGCGAGCATAACACAACCACAAACCTACAAAGGAAACGTCACCACCACCGCCACCACCACGCAACCATGAGAGAAACAATGTGAAGGGCCACACCATAAATATCGGTCCCTTCACCCCGTGGCAGCGGTAACCGCCATAACAATACCAGCAGCAGCAGCAGCAGTAGCAAAGCCATCCGATGTTGGCAGCGGCGGCGGCTAAAGCACCAATTCCACTGGCGCTGCCGCCGCGGCGGCGGCCGCCGCCGCCGCGGCGGTAGTGGCCGTGACTGCCACCTCCGCCACCGGCGTAGACGCCGCCACCGCAGCTACAGCCGTCGCCATCGCTTCCACAGGCTGCGGCAGCAGCAGCATGCTGAGCCCCGCCGCCACCACCGGCACGGATACGTTATCGTCGACATACTGGTTGATGGGCAAGGCCTCGACAATCGTGGCCCCCAGCGCGACGGCGCCCAGACATGAGAGCATCGTGGCGGGGGGATAGCACGAGAAGAAACCCAGGTTGCAGAAGAGGCTAATGAGCCTGCGGGGGATGGGGATGGGGAAAGGGTAGGACGAGGTACGAGCCGCAGGATGAGCCGGCGTTTTCGGGGGAGGAGCTATAGAACCCGGACAACATGTGATGTGTCTCTGGATAAGAGCAAAACCTAGAGGGCCCTATTGGGCTATTCGCTGGAAGAGGACCGGGGGTGACCTGATGGCGATGCGGGTGGTGACGGGTTGGGGGGCCCACGTCCAACCGCATATTAAACGAAAACACACACGGTCAACACCTCCAATCCTTGGGTCGGGGCTCATTCAAGCACACGCACGTCCCCAAGCATCCAAAAACCCTTTCCTATTTTGCCACACATCCTGTCGGGAGCCTGGGCACCAATTCGACACCACCAGAACTTGGGGGCCCTGCTACCCCAAAATCTCTTTACATGGTATCGGCTCGCATTGGGCGGTTTGCAGGTAGGGGGAACGCATCCCACGACCATGTAACACACGAACACACACAATGTATCGCTATCGCCAACACAGGCCGCTCGTGCATCACGCCCTCCAAACCCCTGAATCCCCTCACCCGTACGACATGCCGAAACCCCCCAGCAGCATGGCGAAGCTGCCGGCCCAGCTCTTAGCCTTGTTGATGGGCAGTTTGGCGCCTCCGCCCCACCGGCGGCCCACAATGTCCGCCAGGCCGTCGCCCCCGCACATCATGGCCACCGCGATCAGGCCCGCGGGGTTGTCGCGCCAACACAACACCGTAGCTGCCACGAGCGTCACCACGTAAAACAGAGGGCCCTGCGCCGGAAGGGAACACGTAAAGTTATATGACAGGACAGGTACACGCAACGACCCTGCGCGAGACCCGGCGTAAAAAGAGTACGTGCCAAGGTAGGCGTCAAGTTGCACACACGTCAATTCCACTTGTTTTATCAACGTTCGTCTCAAAGTAAACCCCAAGGGGGGTTAAACCACAGGGGGGGTATCAAAGGTGCTGCATGCAAGGCACAACAAGGTGCAATAAAGCAAGGAGGTGAGCAGGAAGCCTCACAAACGTCAAGCAGGAAGCCACCAAATCCCAAAGGAGGAAATTGAGCTCTGGATAGACACCCCGCGATGCATAGATACACTCGCCCAATCGTGGACTGTACGGCAGGTGCCGTACAGTACGGTATGTTGTGTTTCTCCGTACGCACCTTGAGCAGCTCTCCGCGGTCACCTGATCTGCTGACCGACTTGACCAGACCTGGATCGCTGATCAACCCTGTCCCAACCGCCATCAGCCTGCGGTTAAGAGGTTGACGGTTGACGGTTGGAACAGTTCGGGAGAGAGGTATACTAGACGGCCACCCTGCTGCGCCCCGGCACGCTGCCGGCCACATAACGGACAGGGGGGCCACGGTTCCCGCCTCAACGATCAGATCCCATTCCCAATCACCTGGAAAAGTTGAGCATGGGTACCACTGCAGCTAGGTACCTGGCGTCTGGGGAGGCGCTGCGGACGGGAAGAGGGCGAGCAAGCGGAAGCGCAGGGGCAGGGGAGAGCGAGGGTGTTTGAAGTGAAGACCGGCTCATGCTGGGGGGGTTCGGGCTTGTGGCCTAACAGGTGGATGAGGCATGGGCGAGCTGGTCAGCAGACCTGCTTCTGCCGCCAAACCGCTTCGACCTCTGCAACATTCTAAACACATTATACGCGCAGAGCAGCCAGACAGCCAGGCAGACAGACGGATAGCTTCGACACAGCTATGTCCCCTTGTGGCCCCCTTCCCCCCCTGCGCACACACCTGAACAGGATCCACGTGAGCACAAAGATGGGTCCGGTGGTGGTGTGGACCAACTTGCGACTCAGTTTCTGCGGGCGTGTGGGCAGGTAGGTGGTAGGTGATAGGTGGACATGCGGGCACATGGCACGTAGGTAAATGGGTCTTCATGTTTCTAAGGATCTTAGGGTCCAAGATTTATCATCATCATCATCATCGATTATCAGCAGCAGCTGGTACTGGGTATTGTGGTACTGGGACCAAACCTGAGCTAGGGACGTTGGCGGTTGACCGTTGGAGCCAAGGAAGGGTGGTTGGGGGGCGTCCGAGGACCTTTGAAGGCTAAGGCTGAAGGGAAACATAGCTGGAGCTGTTTTCGCTCGCCGCGGAGTCAGCCGTAGCCAGCGAATGCGCACGTCGTGGCTTGGGGTGTAGATCTGGTTGCAGATTGATCGGCTTTGGGTGTATAACGATTTCCAAGGTGTCAAAGGCCATACCGTTCCCGCCTCGGTGCGTAACGTTTTAATTTTCTTGTTGACGTTTTTTTGATGTTTTTCAACGTTTGAAATTCTTTCTGGGGGTTCGTAAAGTTGCTGCAGCAAGCAGGACCGTGAATCAAGACAATCAAGACTTTTTCAGCAGACGTTGGGCGACTGATGTCATATGTGGCTGTGTCTGTGCCGACTAACAGGCCGACCAATCCAAATAGGAAAGCACCAACGCGCCCTACAAACCTGCTCAAGAGTGCCGTTGGCGGCAAGAAGATCAAACACCTTGACCCACAGCGCCGCTCCCAAAGCGGCAGCAGCCACCACGTAATAGTCCCGGTTCGGCGAGGCTGCAAGGGATGTCAGAAGCTCCGGCAGAGCAGTAGGGGGATGGATAGATCGGGCTGGGTGGCCGGTGCCGTGCGTGCCCCGCTGCGGCGCTGTTGTTGCCGTGGCTCCGCCGCATCGCCGATGTTGTCTGTCGCTGCTAAGCCAACTGCCGCTGCTGCAACTGCGGCTGAGGCTGCTAATTGACGACTGACACGCAAGCGCGGACGGCGCGACATTGTGGGTTTTGCGCTGAGTAGCGGTTGTGCTGAGTGAGCTAGGACATGGTCTGGCAGTTGAACAGCATGGCCGGCTTGCAGCCGCTAGCGATAGCGCTGAAGGAGAAGGCCGCCACCCTTGAACTGCAGTCCTTGAAACTGGTGACAAATTGTGGCAGGATGGAAGCGCGCTACGGAAGAGTCCAGGCATCCTTCCCGACAAAGTCGCCGAATAAGGGGTACGCGAGCGCAGTCCACTTCTGATGATCAAAAAAGTTTAAAATTGAGCAAGTAAGGTACATTAATTGTAATGCATAGCTGGGATCTGCAAGTGGTTTATCAGCGGCGGAGCGCAATCTCGGCAAGTGGTGTAAAAGGATTCAAAGGTAGCTCGCAACACAAAAGCTGCCCTTCCAGTTTCCGGGATATCTATGCAACAACCGCAACCACATGGAGAAATATGTGAAAACTGTCACATTTTTAAGGAGATGCTCCCCATGTACGACAGACGTTGGAAGAGATGGTATCCCTGAAAACCGAAACTTGCAATTAAGGGGCGAATGCCAATCCAATCGTGTTCTAATTTAGCAGTCCTTGTCAAGATCGCAATAAATTAGCCAAGAACGGCACCTCAATATTGGCAGACAATTCCAACCGTCGGCCTAGGCACTTGTGAAAGATGCTGACTAGCCATGCCACTAACATCTACGCGAACTCAAAGGCCAGGCTTCAGATCCGCGAGATCGCTCGGCCGACGGTGACCGGTGTCTCGAGGTCAGGCGTTCTTCAGGATGTCGCCTCTCCGCTCCCACGGCAGATTCCGAGGCCAGCTCAACGTGCTGCGCGTCCTACTTCTGCTACGGCCACTTCAAGTGGGGTACCCACGGCGGACAGTGCCCGTGGCACGAAGATCGTTGACAATGTGTATGACGTGATTGTGGTTGGCGGTGGCCTCTCCGGGCTCGTTACGGGTCAAGCCCTCTCGGCGCAACATGGTGTTAATAACTTCCTCGTTACCGAGGCTCGCGAGCGCGTCGGCGGCAACATTACGTCCATGTCGGGCGATGGCTACGTGTGGGAGGAAGGCCCAAACAGCTTCCAGCCAAATGATAGTATGTTACAAGTAGCTGTGAGTATTGCTTCTTTACTTGTGGCATGGGGGTTGAACTTATTCGCGAATTCAAACAATTGTACACCAACAGACCGTTTGGGGACGGGGCAATTGCAGACTGCTGCACGGCACCCATGCCGTACGGCTATGCAAACACGGCAATTATATGCACGTGCGTGCATGTCCGTGATTTAAAAAGAAAAGCTTTGTCTTGCCTTAATCCCGGCATTCATCGTCGGTGCAAGCCCCACCGCCGTAGGGTTGTAGATCAGTCAAGGGTTTGGCAAAGTTGTTGTTGCCCGCGTCACACACACACACACACACACACACACACACACGTGAACCCTCACCCCAAGAGCCGGATCGGGCCGGGGCTGAGGAGGAGTTTTGTTTCATGTTTCAGATGCTCAGTGCACAAACTCGCGCGACGGAGCCTTGACTCGTGAGCTAGCACACGTGCTAGCTGCTTAAGGGGGGACAGAGGCCCCACGCGCCCCTCTCCCGTCCGGGGAAGAACCAACTTCTCCGGGAGAGAGCTTAGGCGGTCTTTCCGTTGGGGCTGGGCAGCAGCCCCTCTGTGGCCAGTGTCGTCAGGCCCGGTCAGATAGATACTTGTAACCTTCATTTTCACACAGACATGCACACACACGAGGCACACGGGGTACCTGCGTAAATTGGTCTGGTGGGGCCAACGGAGAAAAGGGCCGAGGCATGTGCACAAAACTAAGCTGACGTCTATCGCTCCAACCAGGCTTAGAACATTCAACGATATGTCTTTTACCTCCTTTCCCCCTTTTGCCCCCCCCCTCTCCTCTCTTTTCCCCTCCCGCCTCGCTTCGTCCCATTCCTGGACGTCACCAAGGTGGATGCCGGGGTGGAGAAGGACCTGGTGTTGGGAGACCCCAAGGTACGGCACACACGATGTACTGCAGTACCACTGTACCACATACTGTGTTTTGCCGCATTCCTTTAATTTGCAATCCCCACAGCTGCATCTTGTTTTATTAGCAGCCGCGAAAGGCATGCACATCTTTAAGAGAGGCTTGTAGCTATAAACAGTATGTTGAGGACTGCTGGATCCTCCGGGGGGCCTCAATGACCCGATGTGGGCCCCTTGGTAGTCCTTCATGAGCCCGGAGGCCCGACGAAGGAAGAGCACTTGTAAACTGAAAACTGCTCGGCTAGTTTATTCGGCTGATGTGATGTGACGGCTATGTACCGGTAGGCAGCCATCGATGACTTTCCCCCGCCCGCTACCGTGCCGCCGATCTTCACTTGCACCTTGCCCTTCGCCCGCTCCTCACCGCTCCTCACCGCTTTCTTTGGACGTATCGGCACTGTTCTGCGCCTCTGCGCCTTCTTACATCATCATGACGGGGTTGCTGTTCTGTTCCCCTCTCCCTCCCCCCCATCACCCACCCACAACACCCGCACCACAGGCACCCCGATTTGTGTACTGGCAGAACAAGCTCCGTCCCGTCCCCAGCGGCCCTGATGCGCTCACCTTTGACCTCATGTCCCTTCCGGGGAAGATCCGAGCTGGTCTCGGAGCCATTGGCCTGATCAACGGAGCCATGCCTAGTGAGTGGGGTGCCCGTGACGGATCTCTCCGTGTATGGGGAGGGGGGAGGGAGGGAGGGGGGTGGACTGGGGGGGAAGGGAGGGAAGTTGGACCTCGGGGATATCGGCGGTCAATGTGGTGGTGACGGGTCTGAAGGGACGAGAAGTGATGTAGGCGGAGTGTGAGGGTGTGGGTGTGTCTTGCCTGTTTTTGAGGTGAACATGGGGTAAAATGGGCTGATGGGGTAAAATGGGGTAAAATGGGCTGAACCACGGCCGCCCACAAGTGCTGCTCCGGAGGTGCTGCTCCGCAAAGCTGTATGCTTCGGTGCCCCTGGAGGAGGAGGAAGAGGAGGGGGGGGAGGGGGAGGAGGAGGAGGGGGAGGAGGAGGGGGGTCGGGGTACCCTAGGACGTCATGGTGCCGAGTGCTGCTGCACTGGTGGTATTTGTTTTGTGTTGGGCTTAGGGGGTCTTGTCTGTGAAGTGGGTGTCGTGAAGTGGCTGTCATCACATCGGGTGAACCCCGTATGTATGTCCGTTGTTGTGACAATGGGGGAGGATGACGAACGGTGCTCGCAACGGCGAGCCACCCGGCCTGCATTTTGCTCTGCTGTCCGCTATACATACATATATACATACACATGTGTAAGTATGTACATATACACATACACGTGCACATGTGTACATACAGACTTTGAGGAGAGCGTGGAGCAGTTCATCCGTCGGAACCTGGGTGACGAGGTGTTCGAGCGCCTCATTGAGCCGTTCTGCTCGGGGGTGTACGCGGGAGATCCATCCAAGCTATCCATGAAGGCAGCGTTTAACAGGTGGGCGGGGAGGTACGGGGATCGAACTCAAGACCTCTCGGTTTTGCATTGCAGTCGATTTTTTCATAAATGTCTGTTTTGCTATTTCTGTTTTGGTTTATTTTTTCTTTTCATAAATTGCTTACCATTTCGAATTCTCTTTCAGGATCTGGATTTTGGAGAAGGACGGCAGCAGTCTGGTGGGGGGTGCGTTGAAGCTGTTTCAGGAGCGCCGCAAGAACCCGCCGCCACCTCGCGATCCCCGCCTGCCGCCTAAACCCAAGGGCCAAACGGGTGCGTGGATGGGATACGTGTGCAGGCGGTTCAAGCCACAATGCGAACGCGACCTCGCAAAGCGTCGGCGGAACACCGAGAATTGCCCCGCCTCCGCTGCAGTGCACTCGCCAGTGGCTCATTCACCAGTGGTTCGTGTTACCCCCATCACCGCTGCTGCACAAATCCTAAAGCCTCCCCTTTCCCCCCTTTTGTTGGGTTTCCCTTTCCCGGTTCTCTGACGGCCTAGCTCTGCCTTGAATGATGAGAACTCCCTTCTGTGCCGTTCTGAACTTCGTAGTGGGTTCTTTCCGTCTCGGTCTCAAGATGTTGCCCGAGGCGATTGAGCGGCGTATCAAGGACCAAGTCAGGTACGTTTGCAGGGGTGTGGGGGGTTTGGGGCTTGGTGTGTGTGTGTGCATGCGTGTGTTTGTGTGTGCGTGCGTCTTGGCGTCTTGGCGTCTTGACGTCTTGATGATTGAAGCTGGGGGCAGGAAGTGGCAAGAGGATGTGATTGACGAAGCATATGTAGAGGTAGTTGGTGTAGAGGTTGACGACGATGCAGATGGGGGAGATGGAGAAGAGAAGTCCTGTGTTTTTGGCTGGTATCGGATATTATGCTACATGGCTGTTGATGATGATGGTGATTTTGGTGTTGAGGTTGGTGGCGACGGCGGCGGCGCCACGCAGGGTCAACTGGAAGCTGGTGTCGTTGACGCGCGACGGCGATCGCTACAGCCTGGTGTACGACACGCCGGAGGGCCGAGTGCAATGCTACAGCCGTGCGGTGGCGCTGACGGCACCGTCGTATGTTGTGGCGGATCTTATCAAGGCTGAGGTGGTGAGTGTGGTGATGGGAGCGCGACGGGGGGTTTCAACCGAATCGTCTGTCGGGTGTCGAGTGGGGGGTTTCCTTTGCCGCCACCCTCTTTTGTTGCCATCTTGGCGCCGCGCCATGTCCACTTCCCCCTCTTCACGCATGAACATTTTCCAGGGGGGGGAAGGGGAAGATCAATCACCACCTCTCCCCGGCGCACCCACAGTAACTCCACTCCGGCTGTTCACTTGCCACTTTCTCGCATATGACTCCCCACGCACCCACTCTCGTTGGAAGGCCATTGATTTTTTAAAGTGTATTGGTTCTGGTTACGCCCCTGTTCTGTGGCTGCAGCCAGCCGCTGCGGAGGCTCTGTCCTCGTTCGACTACCCCCCGGTGGGGGCCGTCACTCTGAGCTACCCCCTGTCAGCCATACGGGATGATCGGAAGGACGCGCAGGGCAACGTGCCGGGTTTCGGACAGCTCCACCCCCGCTCGCAGGTGCCTGGTGGGGGTCTTGGGGGAGGAGGTGTATGTCTGTGTGAGAGAGTGTAAGTGAGAGTGTGAGAGTGTGTGCATGTGTGCATGTGTGTGTGTAGCGATGGCGACGATGAGCGGAACGGCACGCAAAACAGCGGAGCGGGGGGTGAGGGGGAGGAACCCTGTGGGTATGAAAACACCCACAGGGTGTCCTTCGGGTTCCCAAAGGTTTGCTACGTGTCTCGCGTGGTTTCCGTTCTGGTGTCGTTCCTTTCTTCCCTTCCTTTCCTTCCCGTCCCTAAACATTCAAAACCCCAAGCCCCCAACCCCATGAACCCACAAAAAACACACAGGGCGTGACGACTCTGGGCACCATCTACAGCTCCTCCCTGTTCCCGGGTCGGGCTCCCCCGGGGCACATGCTGCTGCTCAACTACATCGGAGGGGCCACGAACCGAGGGATAGTCAACCAGACGCAAGAGCAGCTTGTGGCGCAGGTCTGTGCGTGTGCGTGTGTGTATGGAAGTAAGATAGGAGGGGGAGAGGGATGGGGGAGGTTGGTGATTTGGGACGTGCATGAGGTCAGGAAGGTGGGGGGTCGAGGAATGTCGACTTTACGACGATATATGGTAAAAGGATTACTTACTGGCTTGCCACCGCCTGGGTGTGATGTATGTATTCATGTATGTATGTAGCTGCCCCTGGTGGCCTCCAGCATGGCGACTGATTCATCACGTCGTTCTGCTGCGTGCTGCCGCACGTATGTGCCGTACATCTTGTGTGCTTTTTACATGGACAGGTGGACAAGGACTTGCGGTTGATGGTGCTCAAGCCCGACGCGCCGGCTCCACGTGTGGTGGGCGTGCGGGTTTGGCCCCGTGCCATTCCCCAGTTCAACATCGGGCACTTGGAGCTGCTGGATAAGGCCCGGGGGGCGCTGGAGGCCAAGGGCTGGAATGGCGTCTTCCTTGGCGGGAACTACGTCTCGGGTGCGTGCGTGCGTGCGTATGTATGTATGATTGTGTGATTATGTGTATGATTGTGTGAAGTAGGTGGGGATAGCTTCACCCGTGGCCGCCACCACGCTGGCAGTCCCTTACTAACTTCCCCAATGTTGTTTCGGGGCACCCTCATCCATCTGATCACCCACGTGTGAGAGTCCCGACTTCTGTTAAGTCACAGTCCTGAGATCCTTCCTCTCTAAAACTTCGTTTCACCCACTCGCACTCCTTTCCCCCCTCCCCTCGGCGGCCCAGGGGTTGCCTTGGGCAAGGTGGTGGAGTACGGGTACGAGAGCGCGGCCAAACTTGCAAAGCACCTCACAGCCGCTCAGAAGCAGGTGGCGGTGTAAGGTGGTCGTGGCGGGGCACATGTGCAGCGGCCGTACTGCTGTAGTGGCACTCGATGGAGTCGACTGAGGGCGGCATCTGCGCAGCTGTGTAGCCGGAGCTGCCGCAGTAGCCGACGGTGCCAACAGCGCCCACGGGATTGCCGAACCTGGCAATGCCGTACCTAGCCGGTGCTGACGACACGGCTGGGGGACGGATGGCAGCCGGTCACAAGCCGCAGCGTCCGGCTCTTCTTTTGCTATCGTTCGCCGGGGCTTTCACGACGCCAGGCCCCAGGACGCAGTTTTTTGCAGAGGTGGAAGGGCGTCACAGTGGCAATGGAGGGCGGCTGGGGGACGTGGCAGAGGGGGTGGGGTCGCGTGGCATGGGCGGGACGAGGGCTCGTCTGCACTGTCTTTTGGGCGAGGCCCGGGCGCGAAGAGGACCCTGCTGTCGGTCAGTCAGCGTCGTGTCTCGTCTATGTACTCGCATGCTACGCCAAACTGAGAATTATATTTAACAATTTTCGATTGATTCACCAAAGGACTATAATCCACGTACATCTGTGGCTTTGGCTTAAAAGATACTGCATTTTTCTACCCGTCAGACGGCAAGCAACTCTGCTGGCTTAACAGCGAAGCAACTTGGTGTTGCAACTGAAGTATGGCGGCGGCTGTCTGTTGCTCCAGCTGAGTAGGGTGCAGTGCTGTCCTGCCGGGCGGGTAGGAGACTCCGTTTCCCGCAATCTGCTGGATACCGATATCGCCGACCTGTATTATGCCGGCATGTGGCTGGAATTGTTCAGCCGGGGTTCCGGGTCGAGACAACCCGAGAGGATTGATGAACATGCTCGATCCTGCCTGGATGCCCGGCTCCATCGCATGTATGCAGCTAGCAGCGGCCATCATAACCAGAATCAGGTGCCGTAGGCTCATTGTTGTGGTTATTAAAATATGGTGCTTCTAACTCTAGCACTCTACCCCTTGTGTCTTGCTGATCAGCCGCAAGCAAAGCGGTTTACATGACAGAGCGCGGCGCGGGACCTGCTCGAATGTTCTGCGCGAGCTGAACAACAAATACAAGACAAAGTATAGAACCAAAGCGCGCTATTTATACGGCTCTGAGGACACGGGCCGTGGCGAAGTAACCGTAAGCGTGCATCGGCTACTGCGGCAGCTCTGGCTACACAGCTGCGCAGATGCCGCCCTCAGTCGACTCCATCGAGTGCCACTACAGCAGTACGGCCGCTGCACATGTGCCCCGCCACGACCACCTTACACCGCCACCTGCTTCTGAGCGGCTGTGAGGTGCTTTGCAAGTTTGGCCGCGCTCTCGTACCCGTACTCCACCACCTTGCCCAAGGCAACCCCTGGGCCACCGAGGGGAGGGGGGAAAAGAGTGCGAGGTGGATGAAACGAAGTTTTAGAGAGGAAGGATCTCAGGACTGTGACTTAACAGAAGTCGTCACTCACACAAGGGTGATGAGATTGATGGATGAGGGTGCCCCGAAACAACATTGGGGAAGTTAGTAAGGGACTGCCAGCGTGGTGGCGGCCACAGGTGAATATATCCCCACCTACTTCACACAATCATATAATCACACAATTGTCTTCCAGCGTCCCCGGGCCTTGCCTGCAGGTTTTTGCCTGTGTGCTTTGTCGTAGTGCTCCCTCGAAGGAAGGAGGTGGTCGCCAGGGCATCATCTATCACACCTTGGAATCGGGGAATGGGGGAAGGGAGAAAGCAAAATGAGCTGGCCTTTCATCCTTCAGAATGTTGAGGGGGAAGTTGCGGGGAGTTTAGCCAAATCAGGCGGGCGCGCGCAAATTTTGGAGTTCGCAAATTTTGGAGTTTCGGCCCTGGTTTCGCCTGTGCTAGCCCCGCTTGTTGTTCTACTCGCCTGTCAAAGGCTGGCAACCTTGGAAATAGCGCAGGAATGACCAGGCACATATGGACAGCTTCGGCATGAGCAGCGTCGAGTTTGTAGGTACTGTGATAGGCAATGCATTTCGGCGCAATGGGCTCCGCGGCGCCTCACACTTAAGGAATAAATTACGACGACCCTAGCAAATTTGTTACTTAGGTTGGAATAAACTGAGACCCGCCCTAAACGAAAAAAATCACTGCTCCGCGCTCTTCATCTCCGCAGTCCTCCGCGAGAGACGACACGGCACGAAAACAAGGCGGCCGGGGCCCAGGACGCAAATTTAGGAAGATTATACTTTTTCATCATTTGATGATTTTACATTCTCCCTTCGGGCCTGTCCGCTTCACCTCGGTGGCCAGGGGATGACTGGGAAGGAGAATTTGGTTTCATTAGGCACAACTTTAAATTCCGTGTGGTTGGATACCTTAACCAGTTGGCAGGTAATGCGTTCCAGAATGGACACCAAGATCTACAGGGAGCAACAACCTTCAACGACTATTCGGAAGTTATTCCAAATGCACGTTTCCGCCGAACTCAGTCCCAAAGTTGTCGCTCTATCAAATTGCACATTGTGAGATCCACCTCGACTACCTGGCCACGTGTCTGCCGAGTAGATCGAGTTGGCCTTCTAAACGGTTGTAACAAGGTCAGAAATGGATTATATGCAGTGCCTTTTCTTCTTTAAAAGCCCCTTATGTCGCTACTGGCATGGTGCCGTATTCAGTACAACGATTCATCCCAGATTTTGTTGGTTTTAGGGCCTGGAGAAGAGGAACGAGCGGCTTCGGAGCGCAGCAACCCGTTGTCGTGGGGTATAATTCCAAGGTATATTTCCTTATCGGATCGAGTTTTAGCCATGCACCTACATCACCACTTTGGCGTGAAGGCAGGCAAAGCCCGAAGCCGTTAACTTATCCTTTCGTAGCTGTCAGGCCTCGCATATTAGCACGTCCCCTTTGCTCAAACCTAGAATAGGGGGTGTCGGTCTATATGCTCTGGTACAGGCACTTGGGTTAGCAGCCAAGACACTTCTCGCTCCCGAAACACTTCTTCGTTACCGACCTCTGGATCAGTAGGCCTCAGCACCTATTTCGTGCTCGCCATTTCTGCATTGGAGGCTTTGACGCACGGTTACGGATTCGGTCCGGCCCAGGCGTTCACGTTCAAGGAGTAACTTCTAGGTAGGCAGACCCTCTCCTCCTTCACCCTGGAGCTCGCAATTCAAATGAATAAATTATACGTTTTACTGGGTTCTCAACGAGATCCAAGAGCCCAGAGTTCTTCCTGGCTTGAACTGGCGCACCACATGCTAACCGTCATGCGCTCATGTCTCACTTCTCGCGCTGCCTCGCTCAGGTCCTGCCAAACGGCTTTTAAGTATGGCGACTTTACTTCAAACGGACGTTTCGGCGGGTCCTGGGATTCTTCAGGGTCCGTTGCTTCTCGTCTCCGTTGCCGTCCATGCCTTACGTGCCTTTGACCGTTCACGCGAGGTCGCCAGCACGGCCGCGTCGCAACGGACAACAACAAAATTTACAAAAAACAAACACCACAACCAACACCATCATCAGGATCATCTCAATCACCATCACCAGCAGGATCTGTTTTACTCGTTGAACCTCGAACCTGCCACCGCTGTGCCGACACCGCGCGATACGTCGACTATTTTTTGGAAGCCCGGGCCCTCCACCGCCACTCCCACCTGCACCTCCACCGCCACGTTTTCCCCTCATACTACTGGAGAGTCCGTCCGCAAGATTCGACCGCCTCTGCGACCGCACCAGCAGCGGTACCAACAGGGCCTAGATATAGACCAGGAGGACCCGTCAGGGAAGGCGGCAGACGCGGGTACCAGGGGGGTCGACATTGCGGAGTCCGACACCGGGGGTCCTTCATTACTGCGGGTATGTTTTTTTCTGTGTGTATATGTGCATCTGTTACATATTGTGTGTGCGTTTGTGTGTGTATATGTGCATTTGTTACATATCGATCCGGGCCTGGCGCTGGCCAGGGGAACCGAACCGTATCCCAACGGGAATGAGCGACCGCCGAAGGGCTTTATGGAAGGGGCTTATACCGGTCAGAGTCCGGAGCATACTCTCTTATCAAGGCACCGTCACCTGTTCGAATCCTTTCGCCAGCTACATACATACGCCAGCTCAGATGCCAACCAACCTCCGTACCACGGAGCACATGCTCCTCAGCTGCGCGACCTATCAACACACTGACACCAGTGCCAATCACCACCCTATCCTTGCGAATTCTACCACCACCCAAGCTTTTCGTTGTATAACTCCTGACACGTTTACAGCCTGGTGAGCTCCCTCTCCAGCCGCTCAGCGCACTGGAGGAACCAACCGAAAGCATATCTTCCTATCAAGCTTGACACCCACTCCGGATTCGAACTGCAGACTTGCCGATTACCTAGCCCGGTGCTCTACCAACTTGAGCTAAGCCCGTATATGTGTGTATGTATTAAGAGCATTAGGAGCAAAGGGGTGAAAAGAGGGGAGGAGGGAAGGGGAAAGACGGCTTTGCCACGGGGGCCTCGATCTTCTAGGACGTAGAGGCGCATGTGGAATTGTAGAAACCCGCACCACCACACGCGCTGTGGTTCAATCTGCGGTTCAATCTGCTCTAAGGATAAGGGCGGGTAAGGGCCGTACAAGTAGGAGGCCCCACCTTCCCTCCCACCTTCCCGTCGCCGTCGCCGTCGACACGGTTTCCCCCGACCTCGTCCTTCTTATCGCCCCCTGTGTCCCCTGGACCTTTTGCCTACAACCCCACACACACACCGCGCCGCCCCGAAACCAGGCTGCTACCGTTTTGGCGGGTGCCCTATCTCGTACGGCAGCCCAGGTAGCCATTCACCCTCTTGACACGCTCAAGACCCGGATGCAGGTACGACGAAGGCTGTACGACACGGTGTGTTGTAACCATTGCCCGCGAGGGGACGGATGAGAGCTTGTGCGGCGGGGGGTCCAGCTTCGTCTGCTGCTGTTGCTTTAGCGGCCGCCTTCACCTTCGTCATCACATTTTGGTTGGTTCATGCGGCGCCTCTCTCTCCTCTCCCGCGTGCCCCTGCGTGTGTGTTTTACCCCTCCCACCTCGTGTGGAGTTGTTGCAATATCTCTGCCTATAAACATTCGCGCACGTACCATCCAGATCCAGATCCAGATCCAGATCCAAAACCTTCCCACCCCCATGTCGTACTTTGCACAGGTTCGGTTGCCTGCACCTCAGTTACGAGTGTGGCGAGCTGTTATGTCGTGTCCTGCCACCCGCCCCCGGGCCGTCGCTGCCTGGGCCGGCGCCGCGGGTGTGCGGGACCTGCTGCTGGGGCTGGGGGCCTCCGTGGCCGGGGTGCTGCCCTCCTCAGCTTTGTACTTCGCAGTGGAGCCGCGAATTCGCGGCTGGCTGGGTCGAGTGCTGGGGGCAGACAAGTGGGTTTGTGTGGAAGGGGAGGGGTGTGTTTGCTAGGGGGAAGGGGTGTTGGGTTTTGCGTGGAGGTGTAAATCTGAGGTTTGTGGGAAGTAATCGTTTAAGTGGTCGGTTGTGTTGTTTCTTGGTTTGGATGTGAGCGCGTGTGTCTGTCTGTGTGTCTGTCTGTGTCTGTCTGTGTGTCTGTGTGTCTGTCTGTGTGTCTGTCTGTGTGTCTGTCTGTGTGTCTGTCTGTGTGTCTGTCTGTGTCTGTCTGTCTGTCTGTCTGTGTCTGTGGTGGGGGTGAACCGGGGTGGGTGGGTAAACTCCCATAGTCGAGATGAACCCCTGCCGTCCCGACCTCCCAGCCCTTCGTAACCGCCGCCGCGGGGCCCCCTCATTTCCCCTCTCCCCCTCCCCTCCTACCGTACTACCCTAAAACCACAAAGCCCTCCCACCCCGCTTAACTCCAGGGAGGCTCCTATGTGTCGTCTGGCGGCCTCCGCCGCCGCCGCCTCATTGTCGGCCTTCATTCGGGTACCTGCTGACGTCATCAAGCACCGAGTCCAGGTGAGTGAGCTTGATGACGTCACCTGGGTTTTAAGGAGCTGTTGTGGGGCGTGGGGCGTGGGGTGGAACGGATTGTACGGTGGCGTGGGCAGGTGAGAATTCCAGGTTGGTGGCGGGTGAGAATTACATGCGAGAAGTGGGGGTAGGGGCCGGATGGGAGCCTATGTGGGTGTGCGGGTGTTAACTGGCAATCGACCCGTGGGTCAAATACAGTTACCGTCAGTGCTCCATGCCGACACAAACTTTCCTAAACAAGCTAGTTTTTTGTCACTGCTCTTGACACCCCTTCATTTAATCTTCGTCATTCCTCTCTCCCCGCCCGTGCTGTTGCCTCCCGCCCCGCGGCACCCTGCGTGGCGAAACACACACGCACACATACATACGTACATACATACACGGAGCTGGGGCCTAGGCTTATGCCTTCCCCACATCCTCCCACGCGGTTCGCGCCATTCTTGTGACCCATGGGCCATCTGGCTTGTACGCGGGTTTCGGAGCCACGCTCCTCCGGGACGCCCCAGAGATTGTCATTCAGTTTACTGTCTACCGTCAACTGAAGGACATGATGGAGCGCAGGAACGCTGATGGCGGCGGCGGCGGCGCAGCCGCTGCCGCCACCGTGTCAGCGCCGATGTTGGCGGCGGCGGCGGAGCATTTGGTGCTTGGTGGTGCCGCCGGCGCCGTCGCCACACTGGCGACCACGCCGTTGGACGTCATTAAGACGCAGCTGCAGTGCGGCTCGGCGACGTCGGTGCCGGCGGCGGTAGCGCAGGTGCTACGTGCGAGCGGACCCGCGGGCCTGTTTGGCGGGCTGACGCCACGGCTGCTGCAGGCGACACTCTGTTCGGCACTGTTTTTTATGTGCTTCGAGGCGAGCAAGGCGCACCTGGGTGGTTTCGACGCCACGGCGGCGCCGGCGGGGACGCAAATGCAGCCGCCTGCAGTGGCAGCGACGGCGGCAGTGGCGTTGACGCCTGAGGCGGCGCCGGTCCTGCGGCCGTTGGCGCATGGCTGCTTGATGCCACCGCCGCTGCTGCCGTCGGCGTCGCTGTGGCAGCGTCGGTCAGAATGGCCATGGCGCAGTGACGGCGTTGACGGCCGCAGCGGCGGCGCCGCCGCCACGACCGCCGCTGCGAGCACGCATTGTTGGTCTGGCGGCAGGCCGCGGGGCACTGGCGGCGCGTTGACACCGGTTGCAATCTACGCATACGCTTATGCGGGTGCAGCGGCGCCGGCGGCGGCAATTCACCGTTGAGTCTTCCCGCCTTATCCTCCCTGGGCATCAAAATGTCTGGGGCGGTACGGGGCGGCTGTTACCTTCGTTGAAACTGACGGCACTCCTGAAGTTAGGAATATACGATGTGTGGGACAGGGGGTTCATATCTTCATCCTGCGGCCGCTACCCGGCGAAACCCTGCCTTCCCCGGTATTTCGGGGCACCCTCATCCAGTCACCCTAGTCAACTTCTCAGTGGATCGCTCAGGTTCCGCACCCACCACCACCATCCAACGGAACCTGCCTGGGGGGTGAGGGGAACTTACCTGAGGGACAAGGGCACGTCGTGTAGTGTAGGGCACTGTGTTTTTTATATGTAGTGACTGTGATTTTGTATTTTTTGGTTCGGAACGGTTTGTTGGGTCTTCAATTATTTAAAAAATTTTACGGAAGCCGTTGAATCCAATCGCTGTACGGCAGTGAAGTGTGATGGGAGGGGGCGGGAGGGTCGAGGCAAGGGCGGGGTGTGGCGGCCTGGGGTTGTCGCACCCCACATGCATGTCTCACCACGCCACATGAACTCACCCTTGCCTCTTCCTTCACATGGATTGTCGTACCAAGAACACGGGGAAGCCCAGGCCTGCAGCAGTACAGATCTGCCGTACTACGTGATGTACGGTCTAGTGTTCGTCAAGGTTGTTCCTTTATGGTGTTTATTTGTGTTATAATTAAACACCGCGTCAGGTCAGGCGTGCGGCCAAGCAGCGCGAGGAGCGTGCACCTTGACAAGTGTTGACATACGCGACTTTTTTGTACGGCAATTGTTTATTTCGCCGTTCGTAACATTATTTGAAAAGAGACAAAGCTTTTCCTAAATGGTTGATTTTCGTATTGTGTTTTATGTGCTTTCCGTACAGTACAGCAGGCAAGGTTAACATTCTGAATATTTGGCTGACGGCGGTTTCATTCCTGTCACGGCGGGCAGCGACAGGTCGCGAAAGGGAACACATGGAGCCGTTCAGAAAGTTAACTGTCCTTTGAATGTTCATGACTTGGTGGTTTCGGGGCCCTGCAACAATGGGCTTTTGGCAAATGTGTGATGTGCGTTAGTTAGACAGTCGATTAATGAAAGGTGATGGGCGCTGAACAACATGGGCTTTATCGGGGCCTCAAAAGTCACGGTGCTGCAGGAGATGAGTCATCAAGTAGTGGGTAGTTGTAACGTCTTTGTTCGGTTGGGAAACCCTAAAACCAAGCAAAACATGAAGACATGTAGGTGCAGCAACATGCTTTCTTTGCTTGGATAGGCTATAAGAGAGAGATGCAGCCAGAGGGATTCAGGGATGGCGGCAGGGTCCTTTGTGGCTGTACGGCCGGCCGTAGTCGCCATCTGTACGGCAGGTATACGGCAGTATTAAGTGCATGGATATGTCAAGGTATTTGGAAGAAGCCGCAGGTGTGGCTTGAGAGCCCGGCCGGCATCGAAACGGCCTTTTCAGTTGCGTCTGTGCACGTGTGGTGGATGTCTATATTCTTTTAGAGTACGGAATGTGTGTTGTAGAGCGTCTTTCCTTCCACTTCCGCTTTCATGCGATTTTTGTGGTCATTCAATTCCCGGCCCCATTCAATCCATCCAATTCTTGTCTTGGTTGGCAATAATTATGGTGGTAATGGCGACCCAGCTATTACATAATCGAAAAATGCATGCAGACGCATGCAGATGTGGCCCAGCAGAGGGCACCCACTCTGTAACAATTATTATCCATTAAGATGAGCGTTTGGTTCTCCTGGGTCCTCCTTGATTCCACCAGGCGGAACGGAACCGGTCCTCAGGTCCCCAGGCGGAATGGATGCGTGGAATGGGGTGGAGCGTTGCACTGGCAGGACACAAGCATGGCTGAAAGAGATCGAGGGGGCCAGCCAGCGACAGTCTCAGTCGATGGTCTCAAGACACCCAAGACAGCTTCTGAAAGTCAAATCTCAGGCAGGCAGGCAGGAGTAACACAGAACGAGCGGGCCGGCAAAGCCGCAGCTGCCTGGGTCGCACCAGAGGCCGCTATAGGCGATAGAGGAACACCGCACCCGATGGAGGAACTGCGTCAAAATCTGAGGCCAGGAGGGGCGCGCCCTTAAATGCCCTGAAATTACCAACGGTTACATTTGTTTGTTATTAAGTAGTTGGATCCGTCCAGGAAGAATGCAACCTTCGAGTATTTCGCCCCAAGCCGGGCTCAGTGGTCCGCTTCCCTGCAGTCGCGCCTCCCCCTGTTCTCCCCCCCCCGTCGTGTCCTCCCCTCCCCCTTTGGCGCTTCCCTGGCGCCGTCAGCCCTCCAGGCCCAGGCAGACCACACTGTCACAACCCAGGTCGGTCGTAAGATACGTTGCAACACATGCACATAACATAAATAACAGTCCCAGCAACAGCAACAGCAACATACATCAGCAGTAGTAACAGCAGTCGCAGTCGCAGTCGCGGTAGCAGAGCTCTATCTACTGAAACTGAAGGGAAGTCCCTGTATGTGCCACACTACACTAAAACACATGATAAAACACAGCGCCGACGCGGGTTCCCACCACCTACACCGCACACTGTTACCATGGTGCTGACTGATGATATTACCAATATGCCAACAGGAATACAAAACGAAACGTAGCTGTTGCTGCTCCTGGTATTGATGATGCGCCTTGGAAGCCCCACCAAGTATGCCGCTGCCACCGTTGCCGTCACCGCCGCACTCATATCAGCCGCTGCTGTCGCCGATCAGTCAGGCTGCCGATCCAAGACAGACAGACAGACAGAAAGCTCCGCACACAACACTTCCTCTCTTCATGTAACGGCGCCTCTTCCTCTTCACACCGGCTTTCGGTCCAACACCCCTTCGCCTTTACCTCCGAATCTCGCCTGCATACGCCACACAAACAGCGCTCCCTATCCTTCCCTACCCTCCTCCTCCTTCCCCCTTCTTCCCCCGCTCCCCAGTGCCGAGGCCCCGTCCTCTCCAACGCGTATGCTACCGTCAGGTCTCAAACAAGTGAAACGCGGTCTTCAAATCTCACAAGATGAGCCAAGGAAAGGGCACCCATGCGGGTGCTGCACCTCCCATTTCTGGAGGAGTTGCGTTAAAAAAAATCCTCAACAAAGTCGGGTTGTAGCCGGCACAGGAGCGGCCCCAGCACGGCCCCATGATGGAACGAAATAACCAACCTCCTAACGAAAGAAACACACCAACGGCGCGGTGAGGCTGCGCCGCGCTCACCGGCGCGTAACCTCCCCATGAACCCATGTAGATCTACAGGGATGTACAGCAGGGCCCATGTAAACAATCCAACTCAACTCAACCCTCCCTGCACGCGCACATACATACTTACATACATACTTACATACATACGTACATACATACGTACATACATACGTACGTACATACATACTTACGCATGCCCAAAGTAGTGAGGTGGCTTTGCCATTACCAGGCACATCAGCAGCCAAAGCTCCCTCCCCAATCCGTCGACAACCCAAACCCCTTCCACCAACACCGAAAAAAATCCACTTGCGCCATCCTATGCCTTCCAAACCAAATCCAAATCTAAAAACCAAAGGTGATAACGATATAAAAATAACACACCAAGCGAACGAACGCACAAATCTATGCATGTACAGACTGAAGAAAGGCATACGCGCACATCAACACCAACCAGCGCCAAAAAGGCCGGAAAGAATAACAAATTGAATTCAATCGGAAAAGCCGCTCCGCGAGCCTTGGAGAGCTTGGTTCGCCCGAGGAACATACAGGCAGGCGGGTCGGGTCCACCACACCGAGGGGCAAAGTAGATCCGGCCATCGAAGGGGGTTTATAGACCCCAACCGAGGTAAGCAGGCGCGCGAGTGAGAGCCCGTCTGTAATAATGCCGTGCGGTCCGTGTGTCAATCATCCTTTCCCCTTTCTCCACCGCAGGGACCAGAGCAGCGCTGAGTGAGTGAGTGAGTGAGTGAGTGAGTGAGTGCGTGCGTGCGTGCGTGCGTGCGTGCGTGCGTGCGTGAGTGAGCGGGAGCGTCGAGGTGTCATCACACTAGCAAAGCCCCGAACCCCCCCCGAGGGCCCTACAACTCCCCCTCTCCTCCCCATATCACACATTCACATTCCAGCACGGGGCCGAGCGTTAAGTGCGGGTGTGAGGAGAGAACATTCTTTACACTGCCATTTTCTAACTGCACGCATGCACATGCTATACATGCAGACAGACGGCCACATGCACATACATACGTACAAGCATACACACATACCAGCGACACCCGGGGTGTCGTGCACCTGGTAGAGTCGCTCCAGTGGTGAGTGGAAAAGGTGAGGAAAAGGTCAACATAGGGGCACGGCGAGATGAGGAAGAGGGGAGGCGGGTGGTTGGAGGACGAGAGGCAGGAGAGGGGGAGCCTGAGGGGGCGGTAGGGGTTGATTGTGGGGTGTTGGATGGATGATTTTGAGGGATTGCGATGATGCCTTTGTAGCTCGTGCGCCACTTTGTGATGCCATCACAAACACCAACACGTTGACATGACCGCATGCCGCGATGCTATACCAGCCCCGAACAGAGCAGCCAACCAACTCGTTCGTTACCGCAGCTAGCTGAAATGTCAGTCAGTTGGTTCGTTAGTAAGGAATACTACCTTGCAAGCAATCTCGTCTACTCCCTTACAACAGCGCTCCGAAACTTACAACTGAATCGGTTGAGAAAGAATTAAAAAGAACCAGCTCGTGAAAGAGCCCCACCTCATGCGCTGCTCCAGCGCTGCTGAATTCCCTCAAAGTGTCGTACCATTTCACACTATGCCGTACCATTCCATGTAATGCCAACCTCTGTACTTGCGTGTTGTTGTTGTTGCAGGATACATACATACAGCCAAACACGATCTATATTCGCCACTGTCGTCGCCACTAGCATCACCGCCACTGTTGTAGTACATTGCTGTACGGTAGCTGCGCCGCCCATGATTTAGCTTTACAACGACAGTGGCGTGTTACACACACACGGCATACACACACTAACCCCACCCCCCCGGGTAGCTGTCCCCCATACGTTCCCCCCCCCGGGCCCCCCGAGTTCCACTCCCCGTCACCACCCATGTCAATCAGAGAGTGGCGTGCCGCGACAAGCGCTCTCGTGCCCGTGCTGCCGTACTGCGTTTGCCGCCGCCGCCGCCAACTTTAATCGAGGATAAGGATGGCGCCCGCGGGTCGCTGTCGTCACTATCGTCGTACAGATCCGAAATGTCCACCCTGGAGCAAGCTGCCGTGTGCTCCGCGGGCCCTATGGCGTACGGCAGCAGTACATGCTTGCGCAGCAATCCCAACGGTATCCAACCATCTGCGAGCGGGGTGAGGTGGGTTGGGTTATTCATATGATAATGATGATGCTGACGATAACGATAACGATGACGATAACACACATACAAACATACAAACATACACACGCACGCATCCCTTCGCTAAATTTGCACCACCATTGACATTTCCCTCATCGGGGCCGGCGGGTTAAGAAAGCACACATTTATTTAAATAATAATAATCCTGGACTGCACGTACCCGTGTTGCTGAGCCGCGGCACCACCAATGGAGCACCGTTGTACAACACCCGTACCCAATAATCCGACCCTGATGACGAGTACGACGACGAGTACGACAGCGGCAATGATGACGACGACTGGGCCCCAGGTCCCGCCTCCGCCGCCAAAACGCCGCGGCGGCCCAAGGCTGCCGTACGAAGCTGCTGCCGCGACGCCGCCTGCCATAACTCAAACACCAAATGCGATGCGAACGGCGGCCAGGCCCTGGCCGGTTGACCCAACACTGCCAGCAACGGCATGACAGAGCTGTCGTGACCGCTGAAGAGGTAGAGCCGCGACGGCGACGGCGACGACGACGACGGGAGCTCCGCCTGCGCCACACTCGCGTCCATGTTCTGCAACAGCCTTTGGACGAGCATGCCGATACCCAAACGCAACTCCTCACGGCAGCGGCGGCGACGGGCGCTACTGCTACTGCCGCCGGCTCCTCCTCCTCCTCCTCCGCCGTCGCCGCCGGGCCCCATCGCGGCGCACAAGTCGGCGGATGGCGCGATGATGCTCGCCTCGTGACGCTCAGCCTAGCAGGACGTGTGTGTACGTGTGTACGTGTGTGTGTGTGGAGGGGGGCCCCGGGCATATGCGGCAGGTAATACACTTAGAGGTCATACACAACCCCAAGGTAATACCACACAGCAACAACACAACACATGGCAACGGTAACAACTGTCTGACGCAATCAAGACATGGGGGGGGGGGAAGTCCAGGTCCCGCACTGCGGAACGCGAGGTGGTGGTGGTGGTGGTGGCGGAGGTGGTGCGTGACTGCGGAGTGGTTGGAGGAAGTGTTGGCCGCATGGGTTCGAGTGGGGTTGGAGCTCGGGTTGAAGCTGGGACACACCGCCCTGCCCCTCCCCCAATTTAAAACACCCAGACTCCCGCCCCACCCTTCATCCCTGCCCCCACCCCACCCCACCTCCCCGCCCGCCCCACCTGCGCCCAGACGATGTCCAGCACCTCCCGGGAGGCCCCCGGGGGCAGAGGGGCGCCGTCCGCAATCATGGCCGCCAGGTGATCGTACAGTTTGGGCCTGCAGTACATACACACGACATACATACGCGCGTGCGCCCACCGCAGGGGTCGCTCGTGATCAGGGGGCGCGGATGACGGTCATCTGAAGTACAACAACGTCATCAGCATCAACATCAAGAGCAACAACGCGGCCAGGCAAACAGGCAGCCGGGAAGGGACAGACAGACAGACAGACGGACAGGACAGGCAGCCGGATAAACTAGATGAACCCTCTGGCAAACGGCCTGACATCTCCCCACCCACACACACACACTCTCTCTCTCTACCCTCTCCCTTCATAACTAGCCGTCCGACGGCGTCCGTCGGTCGGCAGCAGTTGATCATTTAAAAGCGTCTCACGCATCACTGCCACTACATTCATTCATTCATTCATTCATACATACATACATACATACATACATACATACATATTATACTACTAGGGTTTGGCACTACTGGTAAGGCGCGACCATTGTCCCCGGGAGATCCCGGGATCGATACCCATTAGGGTCAAAAGTCCTTCCGATGGTGGAAGGCATTGCGCCCCTAGTTGATGGACGGTGGGGTGACCTGGGATAAATTTAACCCGCGAGCCGACCAGGAACGGAGTTGGGCCGCTGTTGACCCGGCAGATTCCGTTGGATGCTGGTGGTGGGTGCGGAACCTGAGCGATCCACTGAGAAGTTGACTAGGGTGACTGGATGAGGGTGCCCCGAAATACCGGGGAAGGCAGGGTTTCGCAGGGTAGCTGCCACGGGCGAAGATACACCCCCCTGTTTCACACATCATACATACATACGTACATGCACAGGTATGAGTGCATATCACAGGACTCTCGGATGCCGCACTACTAGCCATTACATATCCACACGCACCACAGAATGCTCGTGTTGGTGTCCAGCCCCAGCGCCTCCGCCACAAGCTGGTTCAAGCGAGGGAGCTCCGTATTTCGGGCGTCAGCGGCTGAAGAGGAGGATGGGGGGGGGCCAAGGGCGAAATGTGATATCGGGCACGTTGAGGAGTCCAAAGACAACCAAAACCGTGTCAGCCGGGGGGAAAGACGAACCACACACGATTGAAGCTGCTGCCAGGGCAAGAGAGTATGAAACGTCAGCCGGGGGAGGGGGGGAAAGAGGCGCCTGCCTGGTTAGCTTGTTGGTCTGATTGATTAATTTGTAAAAGGATCCGAAATCCCGCTGCCTTCGTCATTCCGTATGTATGTGGTATCCGACGTGGTTTGTCCAACCCCGAGCCCTCGCTTTCCCCCGCACCCCTTCTCACGTCCCAACTACAACGACCCCAACGGTCAAATCTTCGCCCACCCGGGCAATATATTCATAATAATACTAATTGTGTATATAAATAATACTATTTAATACTATTAATATCACATTATTATCATTATCATTTGGGAGATCTTCTGTTATTTAATAGTTGTTGCTCAATTTTATAAACACCCCTAAACACCCCCATCCAAAAAAACGCCACCCACCATCGAGGTCACGTTGCATGGCCTCATGCAGCGGACCCAGGCGGGCACACGTGTTGTTACTGCCGTACATGATCTCCAAGGGCTCCAGGGAGGCGCCCACCTTGAGCGTGTGAGAGCGAGCAGGGGAGCAGAGGGCAGGTAAGAGGGAGCAAGGGAAGAGGGAAAAGCACACATACACACACCCATCAGGCTCCCAGTTCCCCAGCAAGAATACTGGGGAAAAATCAGGAAGAACAAACAGCTCAAGAGCCAAATCTCACAATCGCAATCTCCCCATCTCCCATCTCCCCAAGCCTACAACCCCGTGGCCCCATCTTTGGTAAGGAAAAGGTCTTTATGCAAAATAAGCTATACCCTTCGACCAGAGGGACCTGGACGGGCGTTTTGGCAGTACGAGGGGAGGGAAAGGGGAGGGGGAGGGGGGGGGGAGAGTGCGGAGGGGAGGTGGAGGGCAGTCCGCCACTCACTGCGTTGATGCGCCTTGAGACACAAAACGGCCACTTGGGCCTTATAAACCCTCCAAAACCCTCCCCCCCCACCTCCTCCCCCCCCCCACCCGGTGACGTTTTTCCCCACACCCACACCCCCAAGCCCCCCTCCCCAACCACGGGGGGGGGGGTATTCCCAGCTCCCCTAATTTCCGCCACTCATGTACTTACCGGCAACACCGGCAGCACCGGCAACGATGCCTCCACCCCTGTCACCGCCGTCGCCGTCGCCAACGTCCGCCGCCGCTGCTGCTGCTGCTGATTTGAAGGGGCCAGTCGCGGCCACAGCCCCGTCAGCACGCCGCGTAGCGTGGCGATCGTACGACGGATGGGTGTCGTACGCAGCGTCGCAACTTCCGGGTCCCATCCCCTCGGCTCCATGTCCGGGAGAAAACCCCCCGTGGCGTCGCTGCCTGCTGACGTCACGTAGCGGTTCCGGAGCCAGGTTCCCACATCAACTGCCTGCAGCGGGGTTGGGGTGGGGGAAAGACGAACCACACACGTTGGGGTGGGGGAAGGAAGGAAGGCATGGGATATCATTTGAAGATGATAATGGGCCGTCAACCAAAAATCAACGACTCTTAATAATGATGATGATGATGATGATGATAATGGTGATGACGGTGATGATGCCAAAAGAAGCAAAGGACTAACTGGCGATTCGTCCTAGGTATCCAACTGCCCAAAAAGGGGCCGCCAGGTTTGCAGTCCAGGAAGGGGTGCGCGACAAGGAGGTCTGACGTCGGAAAGGGGACACAAACACATATACAGACAGACAGACAGAGCTAAGCGACCCCGGCAGGAGGGACTCGGGAGTGCAGCGGGGGGCTCCAAACCCCTCCCCCCAAACGGCCAGCAGTGCTGCGAGCGCTGGGAATTTCCATCAACCGCTCACCACTCCTCCACACACACACCACCTTACCACCGCACGACAGAACCCCTAACCCCCAACATAACCCCCCTCAGAGACACAAACACACAAACACACACATACAGGCGAACACCTCACCATTCGATATCCCGCCTCCGTCAAAGTACCCTGTCGACATCCCCCCGGCAGCACCGGCGTATTCTGGGGGTGATTGGGGGGGTGGGGGTGGGGTTGGACGGGGGGGAAGGTGAGGAAGGGGAGGAGAGGGTGAGGAGTAATGTGTTGGTGGCAAAACACCCACTGGGAGGTCAGTGGGGTCCACAAACACCTCTCCGCTCATCCACTCACTCACTCACTCACTCGCTTTCCCCCCACAATTACCCAATCACCCGCGCACTGACCGCGTCCAAGATGGGCGGGGGCTGGGGGTGGCCATTCTCATCATGCAGCTCCACCTCCACCCCCTGAATAAGGGAACGAAGAAGAACATACAGACGCTATTGAGGGCGGGTAGACAAGGGGACTAGGTCGGCTAGCGCGACATACAGGCAAACCTGGAAGGGCGTGACTTACCCGAGCACGGGAGGAGCTGGGCGGGGTGTGGGGGGTGCGGGGTGTGAGAGGTGCGGGGAAATGAGGTGTGCACGAAACCACGGGGAGTATGCGTGTGTCTGTGTTAGGGGGGGTGGAGGGTAGGGTGGAATGGGGGTGGGGGGAAGACCAGCGGGGCTGCAAACATATACGTATCTGGCATGCGCACACAAAGACACAGAAGGCTTGGTGGAGAATACGGGTTCCTTTAATTACGCTGTTTCCAATGCATGCTGCTTGTTTTGGTATGTTTTAAAATACACCCAGGTTGTTAATTAGCACACCTGGTAATGGTCACGGCAGTGCGTCCAGTTCACGCCGTCAAAGTTGTAAATGGTATTCAGCGGCGTGCGCGCTCCATGCCTGTCGAATTCGTGGAGAACAAGAGGTTTCCCGTGAGCAGCTTCGCCGAAGTTTATATGTGTGAAGGTAGAAACCCCTCCTCCGCGCACACCGACGATTCAGCTCTCATCAGTGCGACGCTCCTTGCCTGAAAACGACCTGGACTAACTTGAGCTTGGCATCTACTGGATTGAAGTTGTCATATCTTGCTGTCGCTGGGTCTATAAGAGTTTGTGCCGTCGAAGCTATGCGCGACTCATGCCGCGGCCATGAGCCTGCAAGGAAAAGCAGAAGCATGCAGACGCCGGCCAGAGGACCCCATCCATTTGCCATGATAGCAAGTTTGGGCTTCGGCAAGACTGGATGTAAAGGACGAAGGCCCGGAATGGCTGCCTGGAAGCTGGCCCAGGACCTTCCCACGGGCAACCCCCAACCGCTACCTAATCTTTCGGGCCAGCAATTGTGACAAACAGCGTTTCATGCAAGGGGAAAATACAGCGCAGTGTCGCCTCGGCAACCCTAATCTTGGCTGCCGTACATAATGAGTCCTCGATGCTACACGGTGTTACATGCATGTATTTGTCCATCTTGGGACATTACGTTCTGCAAGCACTTACGCATTGCATAGTTCGGTGTGCAAGTAGGCCTTCATCACCGTTACTCAGTGACTCCTTGTCCCTCTCAGAGCCAATATGCAGATTTTTGTTAAAACGTTGACGGGCAAGACGATTACTCTTGAGGTTGAGTCATCTGACACGATAGAAAATGTGAAGGCCAAAATCCAGGACAAAGAGGGTATGTCAAGAGTTTGCAATCTTTAGAGTTCTTGAGTCAGTTGCATACGGTTTACGGGAATGTGCGAGTATGCTGTCGGTACACCTCTCGAACACAAGATCTTTGGCCGATGTCGTGTCGCGCGCCTTACCGTGCCGCACACAGGCATTCCTCCCGACCAGCAGCGGTTGATCTTCGCTGGCAAGCAACTAGAGGATGGGCGTACGCTGGCAGACTACAATATCCAGAAGGAGAGCACACTGCACCTGGTACTGCGTCTGCGCGGCGGCATGCAAATCTTTGTGAAGACCCTCACCGGCAAGACCATCACGCTGGAGGTGGAGTCGTCTGACACGATTGAGAACGTGAAGGCGAAAATTCAGGACAAAGAGGGTAGGTCACCTAGCCCTCCTACCCCTTCTCACCACCGTTGCTCGCTCACACGCCCGTCCTCAACCCCGCGTGACCCTGCAGGCATTCCCCCGGATCAGCAGCGGTTGATCTTTGCTGGCAAGCAACTAGAGGATGGGCGCACGCTCGCCGATTACAACATCCAGAAGGAGAGCACGTTGCACCTGGTGTTGCGCCTTAGGTGCGCGTTCTGATACTAGTTTATCCCCTGCCGAGCTCATATGTACCCATGCCATTACCCAACGCGAATTGCAAGCATCGTGTCTTGCAACTGCTTGTAATAAGGCGCCCAACGTCCGAGTGAACTTATCGTTTTAAAGAAGGGAAATGCCCATGATGGTACACACGAATAACTTTACCAAAGCGATCTCCATATTCTAACGTAGCCTAAAAGTTGTGTGCATGATTCTGTTTTCGGGTTTGTGTTACGCAGCCATCTGGGTCCATGTATTTTCCATTCGCTGGTCATTGTCGCCCCGTCGCCCCCTCTGGCCATATGTCTCCGTTTGCTGGGCTGTTTCCCTTTGTCGCAGGGGTGGCATGATGATCAAGGTGAAGACGCTCACAGGAAAGGAAATTGAGATCGACATTGAGCCAAGCGACACTATCGAACGGATCAAGGAGCGAGTGGAGGAGAAGGAGGGCATTCCGCCGGTGCAGCAACGGTAAGCCACCCTCGAACACTTGCGTCTCCTGAACCGCACGTGTCCGGAGAAGGGCTGTAAAAATTGCATTTGAAATGACACCAAACCGAACGTGGCAATGCTTCGTGGGAAGCGCACTGCTCTTTTGCTACGAACGGATACGGCGATCGGACGCGTGCTTACGCCTGCAGCAGCTGCAGCAGCAGCGCCTTCCTGGTTCTGCAGCGCGTCCTATGTGCCCGTCTCCTATGTGCGACCAAGATGCATGACCCTTCTTTCTTTCATATTGACGCGAGCTTTAAAGCACGAAGCGCAACAGCGTATGTTGTGCCTGGTGCCGACCGGCCGGTGCCGAGGAATGGAGCTGGTGCTGCTCTGCTGCTGCTTGCCGCTGTGGCATGGCATGTCTAGGCCTGCGTGATTTGGCCTTGCATGCTGCGCACGTGCGTGCATGTGCGTGCGTGCATGCGCGCGTCTGCTCTTTTGAACAAAAGTTAAGCATAGCCTGGGATAGAAGCGCCACCCCATAGCTGAGTGATGGAACCGTTCCGTTCAGCGCGGCTACAGGTTACAGCAGCGACCGCACCCGGAGCTCTGGGCTGCTGGTGTTTACCCGGGATCAGGATCGGGGTTGAGAGCAGGTCATGATGGTTTAAGATGCCATCTGCCCGTTGGCAGCCGGTGAACGCTTGTCCTAATGCAGCGCGCTGGCCTGCGTGTCCATCGTCAAGTGGCAGAGGAACAGTATGCGAACGTACACGTTTGCATGCCCGACTCTCATCGGTGGCTACCAGTGACTTTACCCAGCTCTTGAAACAAGACGGGCATTAGTACGCCCGTCTTGACGGGCGTACTAATGCAAGCGGAGAGCGCATGTGAACGTGTATTACTGGCGAACATTTGACGCTCACAAGTGCTTTTTGAGGCGCTGCAGGTTTGCATCAGTAGACTGCGCTGTGTTTTGAGATCGCCAATACGTTATATTGCATAATCCAGCTTACCAGCCCTTCCTCTCGCGTCCTTCGCCTCCTTCCCACCCTCCGTGTCTTGTACGACGGCGCAGTCTCATCTTTGCTGGAAAGCAGATGAACGACGACAAGCAGGCCAAGGACTACAACATCGAGGGCGGGTCGGTCCTTCATTTGGTGAGCGGATGGTGCTAGGCGGAGGAGGCTGCACGCATCTGCGCGTTGGGACCATAATCCTTGTGGATACAAGACACTCCGCGGGTCGGGTCGTGCAGGGGCCTGCAGATAGCCAACGACCCGCAGTGGTGACTTCCTATCCTCACCCACACTCTTATCGCCCGTATGTGTCCTTGTCCTTCGTGCGACTGTGAACCGTTTTCCGTAGGTATTTTTTTTACCGCTGGTGTTTTTTGAATCGCCTCCCTAAATGTAGATGTTTTTCTCACTTCAGCTTGAATTTCCTTTCGGCGCAGGTGCTCGCGCTGCGTGGTGGCCTGTAATATCGTGCAGAGCTGAGCGGGAGGCGCTTTCCTAAGCTGTCAAGATACCAGTATTAGGCAAATGGCCGCGGCGGGGGTTCCGGCTGCCTGCGTCCACTGTGGCTATGAGGACGAGAATGATGGGGCCGTGTTCGCGGCTTAGCCGGGGTGATGCCATATGCGTGCGGGTGGCACATAGCTGCGGTGGTCCAAGTACATGTTTGTAACAAGGGCAGCCGTGAGGAACAATAAATGGATGCGGGGCTAAGGCGTCTGCGGACTGAGGACTTGCGAACTTCAGTACAGTTCTGCCGAGAAGGACGAGCCTGAGGATTCGTTGTCCTGGAGGGCAAACGGTTCAAGATCCGGTTATTGGTTCCAGCGCCAGCGTGCTCACATTCTGCAGCATGTCATCGTGGTCAAATTCAGGATGTTACAAGTTACAAGTTCCGCACGTGTGCGGGGGGGTCCCTCCAAGCCGGGAGGCCATGGACTATATGTATTGAAAGTTGATTCCACCGTACAACTGACGATGGTTATTGTGTCCTGCTAACTAGACCCCACCTTATCGACAGGTCGTTCATCGCCATCAAATCAGCATGCGAAACGTAGTCCACCAACTAGACCTCATCTCCACACCTCGGCAGCAACCGATATACCTAATATACCGATACACCGATTCATGTCGGGGATTTGCTCTGGAAACGAACACAGAACCTTCTGCGACTAATATTGCAGAAATGCCACCAGTATGTCATGCCCGCGTACGTTTCGATCGTTGACACTACTCAACATTTCTGGCCCGTCTTTCAAAAAAGAAGGTCCACTCGTTGACCGGATGCACGGCCTGCTGGTCCGTGTATACGTGTAAATAATGAGCGAGCATTCGTAGGGCACAGCAGCGGCGCCAGAAGCTTTGTTGGATGGGGACCCGGCACCGTGTGAACAGCAGGTGCGGGAACAAGTAGAGCGTCGGCTGGTAAAAGTGAATCCGTTCATGGACCGTTGCAGTGTGCCGCGATGGAGCTCGCTGCTGTGGGGAGGAAGCATAGCTCCCGCTGCAACAAACACTGCTTCCACAAAGTTGACACATCAATTGTCACACGTGCTGCCATAGCTACCCGCCTGTACGGATGCAGGGGGCCCCCGCCCTTTTTCCGGCTTCGAGGAGGCCGACACCCGACTTGTCGTAAATAGTTTTTACAGCAGCGAATTTCATGATGATAAAAATAATATTTGTAAGAGTTTTATGAACAGACGATATGGTAATATAATTTCATTTATCGGCCTTTTACGGCGTACCCGTATTGCGGAATGCGGAGCCGCTGGGTCACACTTTTTGCGTTGTACATGAGGCTGGAAATTCGGCTTCAGGGGAGCTTATTGGAATAAATGTACAAAGCCATGGTAAGGGATTTAAGGGCTGTGTTGAAAAAACTGTTTAAATAAACCAATTTATGCACACTCACCCCTAGTTGGCGGATTAGCGTTTCTTCCCGATAGGGGGTTAGCAGCAGTAGGTAATAAAGGCAGCGCCCACCCGAGGCGAAGAGCTGCCGAATACCGAAACACCGAAACCAACCCCACCAAGCTCTACCAAACGGCTACAGCCGTAGCCTCTTGAGACAGGCCAAGGGCGAAGATAAAGAAAGCATTAAAGGAAATGAAACCGAGGGAACGGTGCCCCAGGCAGAAGGGAACACTAACAATAGTGAATTGCTATCCAGGCCATTCCAGGCTTGGCCCGGGTCCGGTAGCGCAGAAACGGCATATTTTCCGTCAACATAATAACCCGATGCTTCATTTTATGGCGTTGTCAGCACAGCCCTACCAAAAGCCTGGTAAATACAAAGCTGTCGTTAAGCCCTAACGACCATCCTCCTCGATCGCGACCACATCTCCTCGAGGAGCTCCATCTTTGGTCCTCCTCATATGGTTTACTGACCATTCATAAACCACGATTTCCACACCTTGCGGACCATCCGGCCCGGAAATGGAAATGTGGGGCTCGCTCGCTCGCTCGTTCTACAAGGTCAAGAAGCTCCTAATCACCTTGGCCGCACGAAAGTTTTCCAGTGCAAGTTGTACCATGAATTTTATGCATCGATTTAACCGCGGTTATGTGGGCAGCAACGTCCCATAGCTGCCGTAACAACATTAGAAAGGCAGTGGGCCAAGATGCGGACGACAGGACTCCAAGATGACATGATACAGAACTAAAACTTTACGTCACATGGGTCTCACATAGCCGCGCAATTTCGAGGGGCCATTGTTATGTTACTACAGCGAATTGCCGTATAACAGTTTCTGCCCCGTTTATTTCGTGCCGAACGGCCGTTGAGGCCATAAATAGGGGGGTCCTTGTGAAGCAGCTGCCCGCGTTTCCAAAGCACGTATGGTGTTGGATTGTAAGGTGCCCAAGTACGTTTGCGAGGAAGAGAATGTGGCCAGGCTGGGGAGGAAAGTGCAGTGGCATATTGGAATGTGAGATTAGCGTAAGCGAGTTACAGGGCGTTTTATTGCACGGGCGAATTTACGTGCAAATCTTTCACCGTAGCATCAGTCCTCAGTTCACTTCTTGGAACGAACATCAGCATAGGTCCAAGCCCTCTCGCTTGGAGGGATATGCAAACAAACATCCTGATAGGGGTAAACTCGCACGCTACCGAGCATTCAACCGAGCACATGCATGCTTAGTTGAATGGTGAGATGCGACCCCCCCTTCATTTCGTGCTCGGCAAGCCTGCCACCGCGTACCGGATATGTTAGCGATGTTACAGAACGCTGCACCTTGGTTTCTGTGCGCATTGCGTACGTTGCTCGACCCCGCCGACCAAAACTACACGTGCCCAACTGAAGACATTCCCGGTGGTTGTGCAGCAGCTCTTGAGGCTGTTGCTGGCTGAAATCCATCCTGAGCTCTTGCAACACGGCTAACGCGGGCACGTCCCTATGCACAGCAAATAGCTGTTCCAAGCCAACAGCGGCGTCCATGTCACCGCCAAGGCTCTAAACGTCTTATCTGTTCTTATGTTTAATTAAGTTTATGTATGTTATACTTTGCGCAACTTTGTAATTTGACTTTACTCTGAACAAGGTGCTGCATACAACTGCCTCTTCGCCAGCGCTTCATCTTCCGCGGCAGTTTCACGAGCCCAGAGTTGCAAGCTACGACGTTGGCTTTCGGTGCTTTTAGTTACTGCAAAGCATCCACGCAATAGTCCAGCCTGCATGCCGCGTGCGGCTATGGCCAACATGCCCACCTGCGCAACGCGCTGGCGCACCTGGTCCTCATCCGCCAAGAAAATTTATATACACTTGTACAGGCGCATTTTGCGAATCGCACGCGCGCATCTGCGCGGCAAAATTCGCTCCTGGCTTTTTTGGGACGAGTGTACTTAGGCTTTATTCGCGAAGTACGACCGGACACATTTGTGCGAGGGGCTGCTTAAAAATACCAAGAATCGCCAGACCATAATATTTCATCTCTATATTTTAGGTTGCCTTTGCTTTACGGTGCTCGCATATCGTCAATGGAAGCGATTGAGCCGATACATAGCAGTCGGCCCGGGTTCCTGTAAATCTTCTGCGCAAAACTCACCAATTCATGGCTTAAAATCTTTTTTTCCGGAACCAATAATGATGGGCTGCTTTTGTTTGCGTCGGAGGGCACCAGGGCGCAAGGCGAGCCTGTGCAGCGACAGTGACATTACAGGCTGCGTTGCTCCGGAGACTTCAGTAAAAAGCACATCCAAAATACCTGAGACATCAGGGCAATGCCAGGGATTTCCCTTTGACTCGTCCCAGGTTCGTCGACTTCCACAATTTCGCGTATTTCCTTTGGAACAACACATCGCACAATATGTGTCCAATCTGCATATCTCTCAAATCCTGGCCACCCTTGTCTTGTCGCATGACGTGTCACCGGCTTGCGGCTTTGCGCTTTGCGTGCAGGATTACCTGCACTTACTTTGCAAACTGCAACGCGACCTTTGCAATCTCCAATCCAAATCTATAGAGGGTCGTGCGATAGCCATGGTGCGGATGCTTCGAACGGCTCTCTCGGCCTCAACTGTCAGGTAATCGACTTGCCCGTTTCCAGGCATACTAAGCACACAGCGCAAGGAGGACTTCTAACGCGGACCAAACCGAAATTCTTGAGAAGACTATGCATTTCCCACTCATAAAAAAACTCTAAAAATAAAAAGGGCTCGGCGCTTTGCCATGCCTTTCCGTTCAGGCTCTACGGTGCTTGTCAGGAGCGAGGCTCCACTGCGCTCGTGCTTCTCGCCACCGCTGGTGCTTCCGCTGATGCCGGGGATAGTGGATCTGCTGTCGCAAAGGACGGCTTTGGCCAGGCCATCGAGATCGCGGTTGACTGCCAACACCCGCCTCCGCCATCCGTGGCCATACACCGACTCTACACCTGCAGCACTGGCTTCAGCGGTGCCACCGCTGCCGCTGCCACCGCCGGAAAGATACACAGCGCCTCAGTGCCGTACTGGTGCCCTGACACCCCCACCCTCCTGCAACGAGCGGTCGCGTCCTGGGTAAGCTGATGGAACTTCGAAATTTTATCATCTTTAGCTATAACCAGGCTTGCCAGTATTTGTGAAATGCCTTTAAATATGAGCGGAAGCATCATACGAGATTAGCCGTACCTCTTATTCCTCTTCCGTCCTCTGGCCCCATTCCCAAAACGGACAAGTAGGCAGACAGAATTTCCTAAAAGCAGAGCGGCTGTTTGGCTTTCCTGGGGGACAGTTGCCCTGTACAATATTTTCCAGGTGCATCCCTGTACGATATTTTCCAGGTGCACCCCTGTACGATATTTTCCAGGTGCACCCTGTACGATATTTTCCAGGTGCACCCCTGTACGATATTTTCCAGGTGCATCCTGTACGATATTTTCCAGGTGTACGATATTCCAGGTGCATCCCTGTACGATATTCCAGGTGCACCCCTGTACGAATTTTTCCAAGGGCACCCTGTACGATATTTTCCAGGTGCATCCTGTACAATATTTTCCAGGTGCATCCTGTACGATATTCCAGGTGCATCCCTGTACGATATTTCAGGTGCACCCCTGTACGAATTTTTCCAGGGGCACCCTGTACGATATTTTCCAGGTGCATCCTGTACAATATTTTCGAGGTGCATCCCGGGATCCCAGGTGCTGTACGGCAGCGAATGCCATCAGCCGCATGCCTTTCACATGCATCCCGCAGCATGCTCCGCCACTTGTATCCGGAAAGCTCCGCACGCGTGAGCTTGTACACACCTTACACCAATACGCGCACATGCGCGCTAACCTTTAAAAAAAAGTGCGGTGTGCGCCTAGATAGGACACGAGTTTGCTGCGTTTCCTTACCAGGCTGTGGTGCGGCAATCTGCAGGGTCTTCTATGTATGTTCTGCTGGGCCGCGGACGATTTGATACCCTCCACGAGATCATGAGTTTCGGAGCATTTTTCCGCGCGCACTTGCACCACTCGGTGGCCGGGGCCGTTTTTTTTCGATCCATTAACTAAATCCCAACCACAAAACTGAAGCGAAGCAGTATATCCCCGCACAGGTAACGAGTTCCGAACAAAACCTGACCCCTGATCCCTCCCCAGCAAGTAGCAGAAACCTGATTGATTTAAGCAAATGTGAAGTATATGCCTGGTGTTTAATCTCAGGGTTACCTGCTGCCATGGTTGTTAAATCAATTTGGGCGCTGCATTAATAAAGTGTTCTGATTGGTATTGTGCGCAGGAACCCGCACTTCACTCAGCACCGCATGCAGCAGCACCCTCTGTCGGCGGCGGCCGCGCTGCTGCCGTCGCCGCCGCGGCCGCGGCGGCAGACATGGACGGCGACTTCCCGTGCCTCCATTCCCTGCCCGCTGATTGCCTGCATGACTACACAACGCATGGCTCAACTCTTTTTGCAGCACTTCCCCTCAGTTGTGGAACGCATCTTCTTGGGGTTCTTTGGATCGCGGCTGGCGGCGGCCCCAGCACCGTGCACAGCAGCCGCTGCGGCGGTGGCGGCGGCGGCGGCGACGGCGACGGCGACGCCGGCAGCAGGGAGCGGACCCCGCCGGCGTTACGGCAGCTCTTGTCTAGCTCGACGGCACTGCACCAGCTGTCGTTGTCCGCCTCCGCGGCGTTGACATGCACCGTATCAGGTCCCGACGGCCAGCCGTACATCTGCTGGCTGGCTGCAGTGCTCAGTCGCATGGAGAGCTCGTCTACGCTACAGGCGCTGATTTCGGAGCTGACGGGCGCTCTGGAGGATCATGTACGGCAGCGCTACCTCCTAAAGCTTACGGTGAATCCGGCTTTGGTGAGTACGTGAATTGTTGAGTGTCTCGAATGTGTGGTTTGTTGCATGCTGCATGTGTTTTGGTGCCGTACGGATGCCCGAGCACTGCATCCCGTGCCGTCGCTCCCCCACCGCCACACACTACTTCCATCCAACTCTATATCGTTCCCTTTGGTCGTTAGTCTCCTTTATCACTTGCTTTGTCTGAACTGCGAGGTAGGACGGTGCTTATAGGCGATCTGGCGGCCCTTGATGAGCCCTCGGCTCGTATTGGGGCGGTTTGCAGGTACGGGGTACGCAACCCCACAACCATTGTAATCACACACACAGGAGCAATACTGCCATCCTCCCACCGCCCGCCTCCCTTGCCATTCCCCGTCCACCCCCACCCACCCCCCCGGCAGGTCCCGTCATGCAATTCTGATGTGGGCTATATGCTGATCTCCCAGGCACCACCAGCACCGGCACCCAATACCATGGGAACTTCAGTACTGCTGCCGAGCGCCAACAGCTCCGTAGGGACCTTCACGCGGCAGCGCCGTACTGCGCCGCCGCCGCTGTCGTACATGGTGGATCACGGCAGCCCTCTGAGCAGCTCCAGGGGCAGGCGGGACAGCGCACTAGCCGCTCAGGGCTTCGGTGGCGGCGGCGGCGGCGGCGGCAGCGGCGGTGTAATCACGGAAGATTTGAGCGGGGAGCCATGTACGACACCTTTGGTAGCAGCGGCGACGCCGGCGGCGCTGCTGACGCGGCCATCAGCGTCATTAATTGCAGCTGGGGGCCCTACGGTGATGGCGAAGGCGCGGCAGCAGAAGAGGCATGGAATACGGCGGTGGGTCGCGGGGGGTGGGGGGTCGCACACACACAGAGGATCCTGCGGGGCCCAAGCAAGGAAGTCGTCAGGGCCTTGCGGGTCAGCGGGCCCCTTGCACTGCACTGCAAGCAAACGATTCTGATGTGAAGCCGAGTGGGATGACATCGGGTAGCTCTGCACTGCCACTGCTTTAAGCCTTGGCATAATGGCTGTTATACGTTTTACCCTCACCCAAAGTATGGGCCACTAGTATACCGCTGATGATGCCTTGTAAGGCTAACATACATACATACATATGGCAACATACATACATACATATGGCAACATACATACATACATATGGCAACATACATACATACATATGGCAACATACATACATACATATGGCAACATACATACATACATATGGCAACATACATACATACATATGGCAACATACATACATACATATGGCAACATACATACATACATATGGCAACATACATACATACATATGGCAGTCATTAGCCTCAGGGTATCCCTGACCTGACGCAAATTTTGCTCACGCGCGCTTCACATCTATGTCCTTACATTTGACTTCTCCGGAACTCCGTGGATCTTTGGGAATCGTAAACCTGGATCTTGATAATCCTCGATAATCTGGATTCAGGAGCGAGTCGCAAGATGCCCTCGTACGTACCGCATCCGTGCGAACCAGCGCGTGCTACACCACCACCAGCCACCGCCACCCGGGTGCAACCACAGGGCCTACAAACTTCATGGCAGGAAGCTTCTCCTCTGGCCCACAGAACCCGCAAGAGCAGCCACAGCAACAACTACAAGGAGAGCCGGCGTCTCAGGTTGGTCGGGGGCCTAGGGCCTGGGGGATTTGGGGCCTGGGGCTTGGAGTTGTGAGGGAGAGGGGAGGGAAGGGCAGGTTGCAAGGCAGGATGGAGCTCCAACAACTCCATGTCCCTCGACGGACAACCGCTCCAAATCGTGCGCCTGTGTGGCCTCCGTTTACTCCTCCCGGGACTATCACGGTTAGTATAGTCACGGACGGTCCCGATTGTCAGACTGTCATCACGCT